GAAGATCTGAGGACTCTAGAGGCTGCTGGAGATGTTCTGGAACAATCTTCTCAATAATCTTCCCAAAAAGGGAAGATTTCAGACAGAACAATAATTGGAGAGAACTTCCATGTCAAGAGATATTTCCTTGAGCAAGCAACTGATCACTTATTTAAAAGAAGCTGGCATCTTGCCTCCTGAAGAGGAGGTATTCACGGTCTATACCAACAATGGTCCCACTGCTTCTCCATTTGCCTTCGCTAGCCAAGAGGAACATAGATCTAACTCACAAGTCACAGCATAGAGCGCCCACAGCAGATCAGTGAGTGACTCCAGTCACAATTCAAGTATAGAACGTTTTGTTTGTTGTGCCACCAGTCATGACTCTACCACTGTAGAAACAGATTGCTTTGGCACAGTGCAGTTTTATCCACAAAACAGCATAAAAATTCCTCGGGATGAGAAAAACTTAACACCATCACTAGATGAAAATAACTTGAATTAACCAGGTTGTTCACCAGCCAAAACAGGTGTGGTGATCACAGCAAGGTGGATGTAAAGAAACCTTCCTTTGCCTACTGCATGACTATGGCACATGTTTCCTGAAATGCTTTGTCACAGTTGATCCAGTTTGGAATGAAAATTCTACCACCAATGCTCTTGGCAGGATCCTTCTTACTCCATGAGTCACCGTGAAGCCATCAAAATACCATGGTGACTTATAAGGCTTCAGACAGCAAAGAGGCTGTATCAATAGCAAGAGCAAAAGATGACTGTAAGAGTCCTATTAGACAATCAATAGTACTCTGTCACCAAAGCAGCATTCTTCCCCAAAGCCTCTGCAAAACCAATAGGTTCCCTCAAAGTCCCAGAATGGAGCAACAAAAAAGTCCTTTGCCTTGACAGGCAATGATGGTTACCATCAATCTTATCAGTCTGTGGGACTTAACCTTACTGCTGTGCCCTAACGCTCTAAGAGATTAGATTGGTAATTTCAGATACAGTGAGGAAGAGACAGCGTTCTGATATCTCTCTCACCTTTTTCCTTTTAACTGCTTTATTTATTATTTCATTACTTAGGAAAACTGCTAGATTGACAGCACTGGATCCTTAAGTCTTCCTACCATCAGTGGTATATTTACTTCCCTAATATTGCCTGCCAACATGCCTGAACTCTGACATAAGGGACCACCACTCGAGGAGAGAGCATAGTGTAGTACCCATGACCCAGTCGATCCTTGGCCTGTACACTGAGACTGCCAACAAGACTGCCAGCCTGTGGTGGTGATTTTTGTGATGGGGATATGTTTCCACTGGGAACTGAACTGAGACCCTACAAAGTTACATCATGTAGGACACCAAACAGCAATTGATGCTAATAACTTTTGGTCACTACTGAGCTAGATGAGATTTGAATCAATGACGTAGAGGGGAAAGATTCTATGTGCTGCTCCCCCCAAGCCATCCAATCTTCTATTAGACATCTTATGCCATCACTGTTGGATGTTTTTCAATGATGTACGGTTGCATAGTTAAAATAGCAGCTTGCCAGCTCTGAAATAGAAGCAGTACCAGATGCTAATCCATCACTATAATGTATTATTATTCTTTGATATTACGCTACTTTTCCTTGCCTTCCTGCCTATCAACCACAGTGCAAATTTCCTATGGATAGAAGATACAACACATGGCAACACACAAAGACATGATGATTCCTAAGGAGAGCTTTATGGAGTGTGCATATATAAAAGATATTACATTCTTCAAGGGTAAGGGGCCAAGCAATGGGCCCAATCCAGTGTCCTTTGGGAGTCTTTCCATTGACTTTAATGAATGCTGGATCAAACTCTGTGCTTTTTAAAATCTAAGGAGGACATAATGTTGTATCTGTGAAGTATTCTAGACAGAAGTCTTACCAAAATATCACTCAAACAGTTGGTGGGCTGAGTTAAATTACCTAACCAAAATCATAGCCTCTTGAAGAAACTGACGCAGGGCTGGAGGTTGGTGGTGTTTTCCAGAAACACTTTCCTGAACAGAAAGAGAATGATTATGTGCCCAAGATGTGCATTATACAGTGGATTTATTTTAAAAGTCTCTCCCGTATTCCCCATTAATGGGCTAGGTTGGACAGCCCTTAATCACATGAGTAAGCCCCATTAGGTTGTACAGGAAGACCCTATGTGTATTGGAAATATCTCTCAAACTGTTATAATCTTTCTAGTTAGAAGCATTTTAACTGCAGTCACGAGCTATATATATTTTCTCTTTTACATTTTTCCATTGAATATATTGCTTATGAGTGATGAGCCCTAGAGATTGATATACTCCTTATCCACAGAACATGTACGGTATGTACAGTTTGGGCAGGGCAATGCAGGCTTCTTCACACCACATGTAGGCCTAACCCCTGTTCTGAAAAGGCTGTCAGATTTGATTCTGTGATGTTGTATGGTAAATTCTGTCATGTGTTGTTTTGGGGAAAAAAACACATCTTAGAAAAGATGTCTGTAGTCTCCTACATCTTCCCCCTACACTTTTCTTTAATGGTGACACCAGACTGGATAATAATAAGAATCTTGTATAAAAAAGATGAGTCTCAGACAAGGCTTTCAGAGTTCATTTTGTTTGCAGCTTTTTAAGTACAGTTTTTAGGCTCTTCTGTTTCAAATACTATAATATTTTTTGAGTTAGTAACTATGAATTGCGACAAGCTTTCTTGATATGCCAGGTTATAATCCTTTAACTGTTCTGTTTATTTCAGAATATAATAGGGAGCTGTATCAATTATCAGGGCTGTATAAACATTGTTCCACTCTACTAGAATATTCATCTCGAGATATATCATCAGATGTTACCTATTCTGACAATCACATTTTTGTGCCATTGTTGGGCAAGAGAAACAAAGAAAAACAAAATGTTAGAGTGTAAGGGATAAAAGAATGTTGGAACTATGATTCTTTTCCTGTCTTTAGAATCTCCGAGATCTTGAATGTTTTATTCCAGCCTGTTATTTTGTTACCACAATGTGAACAGAAGTCATTATCTGTAAACATTTGAAGAGAGAAATGATTTTCATAACTTTAAGTCCTACAAAGAATTCTAGTGATCTGTTATATGCATGCCAAGGTAAAGCTCAGCCTTTCATCTGGTCTGATTCCAGCCAGTCAGTGTAAAATGTTTCTTTGGTGAATGTCTAAAACATACAGTATCTTTTGTGAGGCAGACAAAAATCAAAATAGGAAGTCTGCCCTCGAAGGCAGAAATTGTTGTATTGTAAATAAATCTACATTTGAAAGCCCACAATCCTTTTTTTTTTTTTTTTAAGTTTAGTTCCATAAGTTTGGAAGGTTTTTTTTTTTGTTCTTTTAAAAATTCCCATATGAAAAATCTCCCTTTATGTGACATCAGCACAGTCTGTGGAATATCCCACAGCCTAGTGATTTATATCTACTCTTCATAAATGTATTTGTGAGAATTTTCTGCTTAAGAGTTTATGAACTTGAATATAAAATTAATAAAAACATTACGGTGAGGTTAACTGACTTAGGAAGATAATTGTACGACCGGGGCAACTCTATTTGTTTCTTTCAGTTGATACAACAGTGTAGCTCAGGGGGTTGGTGTTTGGAGCACGCCTTCCAGATTGGACCCCAGAGGTGAGAGAGCTGCTCCTCCACCTATTTTGTCTTGGTTCATGGATCATATCAGGGCTTAGGCAGAAGATGGATGTCAGGGTATCAAGAGTGAAGCAGCACTGCACATGCCCAGAGACAGAAACTTAGGTGCCTCGGGAACTTCGACAGAAACTTTGACAGAAATTGTAGGTGTCAGGTGAGTTTAGGTGCCTGTAGAGTTAGGTGACTGTCAAAGAGAGGTTTTGTGGATCACAGTGGTGCCTAAAAGAGGGACTTAGGTGCCAAAGTCTGGGGTTTAGGTGCCTAAGTACCTGTGTGGATCTGGATCTAGGGTCCGATGTTTACAAGTGCTGAGCAACTACATCTCCAGTTATAGTTAATGGGAGCTGCAGGTGTTCACCCTCTGAAAATCAAGCCCTAATTGTCTGTCATGTTGGCAGTCTCAACAGAGGAACCAAGTGTTGAATGCACCATGGCAACCAAACTCCCATAGCAGTGGTCCCTCTGGGTCAGGTTTGAGAGAAAGGACAATTCTATGCTGGCACCAAACAGTGACAATTAGTATGTGATGGATTCCAAATCTGATTCCATACACTGCTACAGAAGGATGTCTGGGGATGGAGTTGCAGGAGTGGGATGTAGGAGGACTTGAATGCTGAGGCACTGGTTGGAAGTAGCCATACTGCAATAAAGACAAAGACATAGAAAAGGGAGAAAAAGACAAACTGGGCTCTACTTAAGATGTCCACTGGCACAAACACTAACAGTCATACAGTGTTGCTGGGGTTTTTTACGGAAGAAATTGTAGAATAAGGGAGCAATCTCCATCCTGCAATTGGAGATGCTGTTACAAGCCAAACTATTTCTCTGTCCTTGAGAGTCCACTGAAAGGCTAGCCATTGGAATGATCTTCCATCTGGCTCTTGCAGAATATTAATATGACTTGAACTGTGAATTGGGTTTAGAGAGTGGATTTGAGAAGGTCCAGAGGTAGCACGGACTACTGGATGGCAAAGGAAATGTGAAACCCCCTGACTGATGTATGCTCAGCCTGTGGAAATCAAGTATGAGTCTGCACTGTATTATTTGTTATACGCTGGTAATATGCTTGGTTCTGTATAGGACACGTATCAAACAGTCCCCAGCCCAAAGAGTTTATAATCTAAAAAATATAAGAAAGACCAAGATGCAACGGCCAAACTGAAGAAAAGAGTTTCTTTACATGCATTATGCTTTTTGACATTGACCTCGGGGTTGTTCAAAATTATTTCCTTTCTCATTGTGTGTGCATTCCTGTAGTGTAAATATTAATTCATACTGTGAAGGCCACAGTTACTATTCTGAGGATGTTAATGTTGTTCCTTACTGTTTGTCTACAATTAGGATATTTTTCCTGAATCTCCCATCTGAATCTGTCATGGAACGTCTGGCTCAGCGGATGATTGATCCAGTCACAGGAGAAAGGTTAGCACTAATGTCCCGTGTTTAACAATTTGTAAGGCTGCCCAGGTGGGTGAGGTAATAACTTTTACTGGACCAATTTCTGTAACTTCGTAGGGCTGTCAGCAAGACAAAAGCTTCTGACAAGCTTCGTAGAAAACTAAAGAAAATCAAGTGGACTGTGCTCTTGCTTAAGGATACCTGAAAAGGAAAAGGTCATTCATCGCCCCTCAGGTACCAGCTCTCCATGAAGGAAGTTCCAGACCTCAGCTCAGTGCAGTTTTAAATCTCTGATATCAAAGTCCATAGCAGCAGTTGATCTAACTTTTACATGTTCCATGAAAACTAAAATGGGTGGCAAAATAACGTTTAGGGATGATAATGCTATAAACCAGACTGCAATAATGGAAGGCTTTCTAACAGAGGCACCTGGAGATCTGGCCGCATTTGATTTCCCCAGTCCCACTGATGGCTTCTTGTGTTGTGAAATATTAATGCATTTGTCCCTCAATAGATCAAGCTTTTATTTGAGCCACTGGATATGAGCTCAAGTTTCATATGTGACAGCTCTTCGTAGTGGCAGTCACTCCAGCTTGGTGGGGTCAGTGATCTTCAGGCTCTACTGATTGATCCATCCTAACTGTTCTAGGAATAAAGTAACAAGGAAAACTCTTCCTAAATTCCTTCCAGAAGTGGTACTTGAATTGCACCTTACATTTGTGCTTTATTTCTGTAAGTAGTACATCAATTTGTGAGCAATATTAAACCCCCATGCTGAGAAACAGCAAAACAATATTTTACTTTCCCGGTAGATTTGGATTGTATGTCTTACTGCCTTCCCAACGCTGAATCAATAACAAATGCTGGGAACCTTCTAAATCCTAGTCCTAAAGGGTTAAAGGCATAAATACTGTATTTATGTCAAAGTGGTACACTATTATTCAGACATTTCACTCTAGGTGCAACATGTAATTTGCTGTAATTATTCTCCCTCCTTTTGTTCTAGTAATAAGTGACACAGTTGTTCAGCAGAAGTTAATGCTATGAAGCAAATCTTTGCATTTCTTATCATTAGGATTAGTCTCTACAGTATCTGCTCTAGTTAACACGCTTTCAGTCTTTAAGTCTTGGTTTTAGTCTTCCCAAATTCATTGTGAATTGATGGAGATATGTTTTAGATGCTACATCTAATCCTGGGCATTATGCTTCTGCAGCAATGGATCCAATGAAGTGAAGGGAGTAGGCTAGCCCTCCATCGTATTCTAACTTGTACTAATGTAGGATGAATACACAATATCCAAGACAGTGTCTTAACTGGACTCTGCTTTTCTTCTTGGTTTTGTATTTATCCAACCATCTTATCTACGTGTAAGTCTTTTGCACATAAGACTTGCTTTCAGGGTGATACAGTGAGAAGGACGAAGTTGTTTCTTCATTTGAGGAAAATAAATAATTCACCTGAAATAGAACTGTGGCATCAGTTCTGAGGACCTGTTTACAAAGCAGTTTTTAGTGATCTTCACAAGGCTGTATCATAACTTTGCAACATGGGTAAAGCACATTTTGGTTCCAGCTACACAGGCAACCCAAACTCTGCTACAGCATTGCTAGGGGGCTCAGGTTATAAAAATGTTCCTCTGACTTACTAAAAATTGTGGTGTAGATGATTGGGCTTTTGCTATTAATTCCAGAAAGTCAAAATCTTGTGCCTTTGGAAGGCATGGTTAGAAATATCCACAATCCAGCTCAGAAATGGGTTAACCGTCTTCCTCTCCCCTTAATATACAAACATACGCTCTTCGAAGACAGATTGATGGTGATCCTAGAAAATCCTAACAGGATTTAATATATTCTACGTGGTACCCTCCATGAGAGACAGGATCAGGGGAAGGGTGGCTTGTGTCTTCTTTAGTTCAGTGGTTATGGGCTTTGGGCCAGCAGCATTCTGTAGAGCTCCTTCCAGCACGTCATAAACTTGAAACCCTTTGAGAACCAAGCAGCGGAGTACTAGGGCATCAGGAGGGGGAGACGGGTCCATGAGAGGGCTTTTCTTTTGGAAGACGCAGTACAGAGCCATTGCTCTGGCCAACTGAAAAACAGCATGACCTTAATTAACATTGTTTGTTACTTTAAGAATCTTTTTAGCTGATCAGTTGTAGATTTGCTGTCAGCCAGCCTTGGGAAGCTCTTGTCCCTTATGTGCACATCCATGGACTTCATGGGCATTGTTCACCTAAATCCATTTGAACTCACCATTGCCAGCTAACTTTCCTCTGTGGCCTTTGGGACAGGTGGGTCTAGAGGGTTTGCACAAGTGAAGGTGGGGGTGGAGCAGAATCCCAAGATTACAATATAGAACTAGAACAAACTGAATCTGGATTAGGCTCTGCAACAAGCCAAGCTTGGTATGCCCTTGAAGTCTTCATAAAAATTCAAATTCCTGCTAACAGAGCCCTCAAATGGAGCATCGGCTGCTGTAGTATAGACTCCTGCTCAGTCACCTATGGGATTGATTGTGCCAAATCAATATTTAGGACTAGATCACTTCAAGAAAAACTCATATCTCCAAGTATCTAGGATCCCTGACAGTCATGATATCAAATAAATCGGAAGTATCAACTTGTCCTAAACTTTCCCAACTTCTTTTTGACAGAGCCTAACTGCCAAGTTAGTTGCACAGCAGGGGACACCTATTTGGATAAGCAAAACCAAACCATGTATTTGGTAACATCTGTCACTTCCCAGATTTTCATTGTGAACTGAAGTGGGGTTTGTGTCTTATCTCTAGATATCACGCCATGTACAAACCAGCTCCATTACCAGAGGTCCAAGCTCGTCTCAAGCAGAACCCTAAAGACACTGAAGAAAATATCAGGATTTGCCTGGAGACCTATTACAGGCATGCTGGCGACTTGGAGGAGTTTTATGACAATGCTTTCTACATCAATGCTGACCAAGACCCTTATGTTGTCTTTGAGTATATAGAAAGCTGTATTGTTAAGCCCCTTCCACACAAGTCCTGACCTATTAAAAACAGCAGTTCCAGCTAGTCCAAAATGCTACCAGGCAATGTCAATTAGTTGGTGACTTAAGACTCAAATTTATGAGGCTAAATTTTTTTGCAAAAGCTAATATTAATGAATAAGGATGATTTCCCAAAACCTTGTAAAATGAAAAGCTTGTTTGGATTTAAACTTTTCCCTGCGGTGTTTATAATCCAAACATTGCAGTACTGGGCTAGTGTCAGGGACCTAGAACTCAAATGGACTGGCACTGTCTGAAGTGAGTGAAGTGCAGAGAGTAAACAAACAACATAAACGGTGAAAAGTTTCAGTGGTTCAAGCTCTTTGTTTTAATAATCCCAGAGGGTGAGACAGGAAGAAAGTTCATTTTTTAGAAATTATGTTTAAACTTCCTCTCCTTTTCCAGGTGCGTGATTCAGGGAAATGTGGAATATTAAACCTATTTGAAGTGTACTTGTCTGGAGTCATACTCACTGCCACTAAACAAAACCTGCAGCCTGACCGCGTGTGTGCTGCGCAGCTGCAGTTCTCTGTACGGCGTACAGTTAGGATGGTGGCGTTCATCATCATGCTAGTCTAGGATTTAAAAAACAGGGCACTAGGGCTTTGAAAATTAGGATCAGTGGTAACAACAGCAGAGTCTGAAGTGTTGACAGGATGCAAGCACTGTTACCCCCATGTCACTTCAGCTTGCTCTGAGTAAGTGCGGATGAGACAGCAGTAAAAACACCCACATGTTGTCTGCACAATGGCATCTACTACTGCAGTATTATAGGTCCTAATAGAGTGACTGGGACAGGCTTCCCAAGGGATGCAGAGCAAGTGAAGCTAAAACAAAAGCATATATTAACACACCCACGAAATGGGTCACAGATTCCTCTGTTTCAGAATTAAATTAAACAGATTATCTCTAGCCATTGAGACATGTACTAGAGCCCTCCTTCCTTGTGGAGTGAAAATCCAGGTTTCTTATCCTGCCTCATTCCTTGCTGCCTGAGCGCAGCACCTGTGACTGCCTTAAATTAGCCACAGCTGAACTGCCAGAGCCTAAGAGTAGCCATTTATCAGGAAGTAGCAGATGATGAGTCACACACACAGTCTTTCTGGAGCAAACTAGAGCCAAGGAGCAGCCATGCCAGGTAAGTCTGTTTTCAGTGGAAGATGCTCGACTTTAGCCAACACTTACCATACTGCACTACTGTTAACTAGATCACTCCATATCTAGGGCAACGCTGATTCCCTCCTGATCCTGGGAAAGGGTTGGAGAAACAGCAGTCTGCAGGGATTGGGAGAAAAGACAGGAGGAGAGTTAGACCCTTTATCTACTATCCCTAAGTGTTCTCAGTGCAGAGAAGGCACTAAAAAATGAAAGGGGAGCTTCCCCAGGGTCTTGAAGGAAGGGAGGCTCCTACCTTCTCCTTCAGGAGCTGTGTGTTCCCTGCCATGCAGTCCCCCAAGAATTCTTAGTCTCCAAACAACTTCTGCCTGGTCCAGATCCAGTGCTTAATTTGCAATGAAAGAGGCGCCCGGGCTCAAGCAATTTTTTTTATATTCATAACTGATGCCCCAGGCTCAACCCTAGCAAGGCCTGGCACAAATTAAGCACTGTCCAGATCACAGTAAATAAGTTTCTATGCTTGTGGCTGTCGTGATCATGTTTGTCCAAGGTTACACATAAATCAGCAGGAAAGCTCCTGTAAAATCCTCTCCTTGCACATACAAAATACATAGGTGAGCCTCTCCATTAGCCAACTGGCCCAGGGGACACTGAAATGTTTGGGATATTTGGGGTTCAGATAATCAGCCTTTAAAGCTGAGATTTTTTTCAAAGCGTCCTAAAAGATTAAAAAATGAGAATCAGGTATGCAAATGCCCTACACAATTTAGAAACTCTCAGCTTATGTGTCTGTGTTTGAAATCTAAGGAAACTAAAGCTACTGCCACCAGCAGTGTGAATCACTAATGAATTTTGTGCCAAGAAATTCCAACCCACAGCACCAGGGGGCTAATGGTGAATGTAGTTTGCACAGGGCTGGGGCCTGACTGCAATACCCTCTCATGAGGCTGGGCCAGTGGATTTGTAACAGTTCCCCAGTTACAAATGTGCTGTTCGGTAACCAAGTTGGACAGCCGTTTTTCCTCAATGGATATAAAGACATGCTTTAGCCTCTAGGCATAATTGGGAGCCCTTCTATTAATAATACATAGAAGCTCATCTTGCTAATATTGTCTCCATTTGAGTGTTCCTGCTAAATATTTTGATAGTTGAAATGGATCAAGAATGCATTTAAATACTGTTTGCGCTGCAACTAGGGTACAAAAGGGACAGTGCATCTTTAATTAGACAGGTACATCTGCTTAATTAATTTAGCTGTAAAGCCCTTTTTCCTCTCCATTCTTTCATCTACATGCGAATGCTATATTAGTTCCACTCTGCTGGTTCCATAGAAACTGAGAAAAAGAGCTCATCTCATTGAGATGCACTTGGCATGTCTGTGCATGGAGTCTCAGGTCAATGGTCAACCCCCAAGGGTTTGCAGCAGGCCTGAAGTGCAGCACATAAGGGTTAGCAGAACATGCTAATACTCTTGTAGAACTCTCCCTCAGAAACAACTAAAACAATTGACATTCATTTAATTACTGTAAATGAAACAGCCCTTTGCATCACTTTGCATAGTAAAGCCTGTTAATACCAAAAAGGTTCAGTGGCTGGAAGAAGGAATTAGGCTTTTATAATTGGAATATGGCATTTTAAAACCAATTTGGAAACTAGGCTTGATTTTTTTAGCATCTTATTCTGGCCAAACAAACATTAAGCAACAAGAAAAACAAGGTAAAGAGGAGAAGGTAGCAGCACAGCAGGGAAAGAACTTCTTATTTTGGAACGCTTGTACAGCTCTGAAATGTACAGCTTGGATCTTCCCACTGTGTTGCAAACACACTTTGCAGAGAGGGGTGTTCGGAGGTTGTATTGCACAGTGCATCTTACACTATTAATTGGGGAGCTTGGCAAAGAATGAGGTAAGTCCAGTTGCTCCACAAACTTCCACATATACCTGTTGGAAAAAGGAAGCATTTCTTCACACAACACTTAGTTGGCCTGTGGAACTCTTTGCCAGAGGATGTTGTGAAGGCCAAGACTATGTAACAGGGTTTTTAAAAAAAAAAACTAGGCAAGTTCATGGAGGACAGGTCCATTAATGGCTATTAGCCAGGATGGGCAGGGATGGTGTCCCTAGCCTCTCTTTGCAAGAAGCTGGGAATGGGCAACAGGGGATGGATCACTTGATGGTTCCCTGTTCTGTTCATTCCCTCTGGGGCACTTGGCATTGGCCACTGTTGGAAGACAGGATACTGGGCTAGATGGACCTTTTTATGTTCTTATAAAATGACACATCTTGGAGCAAATCATGCTGCAGGATGAAGTTTGAATGGCTACAGGCAGGAATGTTGTTCATTTGATACTGTGTCAGCAGTGGACCCCCCCCTCTCTTGTAAATGTGAAACAAAACCTGGTGGAGGGGGAAAGGTACTTATCCCCACTAGAGGAATACAAACACTGATTCTGCAGTGATGGTGCTGGTGCAAAACTGTAAAATAGGTAGACATATACCTTCAGAAGTAAGACACTATAGGAACAATAAGACTGTCAATGGGTGGAGGGAGAGGGACAAATGTAGTTCAAGAGATCAAATATAAACCAAGAAGCTCCCAAGAATCCTCCTGTGCTCTGAAAGCCTTGTTAGGATAAAACTTGCATGCAGCTCAATGGGTTGAGACTATACATTCTGTCTACCATTTCTTGCACTCCAGGCCTGCTTCCCCTAGATGCAGCGGGAGAAGGGTTAGTCTCAAGTAGGAACAAACTGAGGTCATGACCATGAATTGCCTCTGGCTGCATGGATGCAGCTACAGAAACAGGGCTCAAGACTTAATTTGTTCCTCATTTGTAGGTTGTTTTTTTTTAAATGCTGAAATTGTTTCCCATCTAGAAAATGACTTGGGTCACTCTCCCCCCTCTACAGGAGAGGCCGTTTGAGTTTTGGGGGGTAGGAGAGGGAAAGGTGCATCAGCTCACTTCATTCATATACAAAAAGGAGGTGCCCTGGTGTAATGGCTAGCACTCCCTTGGCTTTAGCTTTCCCAGGCAGGGATAAAGTTTAATTTAACCCTCATAACCCTAATGAGGTAGTTACCATTTGCAAAGCATTGCAGATCTGTAGATGGAAGAATTACACAAACATTTATTTTAAAGAATAAGTGCACCTATAAAAATCTTTGGTGACAATACCTAGTTTTGAGGTGTTGTGTGCAGGTAGAAGTTAAGATTCCCACTAGATGTTTGGAAGCGTTCTGTTGTTTTTCCTACATGAAGTTTGTCAGAACAGAGTTGAGGGCACTGGAGTTCTTTTATACTGCATCCTAACTGTGTGATCATCCTCTGAGGAGGTAGCAACACCACAGAATGTGTTTGCTGTAGAGCAACTAGATGGGTCATGAAGAAGCCCCTACCCAAGAGCATGGATCTAACATGCACAAGCAGCATTTGCCAGTACAAGTTCTCTCTCACATAAGGCCTTGCACCTGAGTGAGCCGATCAGCTCAACCAGCATGGACCCCTGTGGCTAAGCAATGACCACACACTTGCACTGTGGTGAAACCAATACAGCAATTTTACTTCTGTTCCTTTCCTACTCCAGTGGGGCCCCAGACCCAGAGCGTGTACTCGAAGGACTGGTGATAGTGAATGAAAAGATCTTACAGGCGTACCTTTTCATAGAGCAAATTCTATGCATAATAAAACCTAAATCCCTGCTTTAACTTTAAAAAAATAAATGTATATATATCCCCCCATGCAACCTATAAAGCTGCTAACAAAACCTACATAACCATCACATCTGTATATTTGGAAGTGGATCACACATTTCATTTATATTTACTACTTTTAGAGTTGTTAGTTCTTTATCAGTTTTAACTTACAAACCTGCTGCCTACTCTTCCCCCCTCCCCCCCAGCCCTATTGGACCAAATATGGATGTATACCTTTCAGCAGTGTGTCTTACCAACAGGAGAATAAATATAAATCAAAGAGCACATGAGTATGTTTCACACACACGACTTGTCAACCTCAAAGCAGGTATTTACTGAGTTAGGAACAGGAAAGAGGTCCAAAATTGAAGGTGGCAACATGAAGGCCTGTTTTCTTGTTGACATTCGAACTATCTGTATATTTTTCAATTATTGTCAAGATGACAGAATACAAAATCAAGTCATTGTTAACAAATGGAAGAGAGGCAAGCTTCGTAGTACATTCTCTCCCCCCACCTTCCCTGATTCCACTGTGCTGCCTTGAGAACATTTAAACCCTTATTTCTCTGTAAATAGACTAAGATATTGAGCATGGTCCTTGAAAATAGCAGAGAACCCCCTTCTCTGCAAAGGCAGAAAGAGCTGGTGGAGGGCATTTCAAAGGGAGAGCAACACCCTGGCCCTGTTCAAAGCACAGAATCAAAACTATTCCTGTCAGTCGGTATTAGATGTATTCACTAGGGTCCCAAATTCAAATCAATCAGCTCTGAGTCCCGATATTGGAAGGTACTCAGGATCTTCAATTCTTGGACTTCTGTGGGAACTGAGGGTGTTCAATACTTTCCAAGATCAAGCTGTAGAATATTAGTTGGGGAACTGATAGTACTGAATATTTTAGGCTACCAAAGGACAATAGCCTCCTGAAGCAAGTAGCATGGGAGATACCTGAACACCTTGCGTTCTTAAAGCATTCTTTTCAGTGTCTTATCCTCCCCACATACAATGACTGTTTGATTTAGCCAAAATGGTCAGCCTTAACGCTGAATGTTCATGGGAAGTTAAGTGCACTGAAAAACATTATACAGGTTTTAGGGGCTGACTTTTTAGAAAGGGTGAAAAAAAACTCCCCAGTTTCTATACTGAGCTAGCACCCTGAAGGATTACAATGTGGTGGATTTTAAAAAATCCTTATTGTTTTTTCCTCACTCTGGTCAATCAGTTGCGAAGGACCACTGGAATTATTGGTGCAAGGCTTATCTTTTCAACCTGCAGAATTGGCATCAGGCTGCCATATTTAAATATTTGTTTAGAAAACAATCAGAAAACCTGATGAATTAGATACATTAACTGCACAAATTCCTTCCACAATACCAGGAGTGGCCAGCCAGACTCATTGGCCAATACTTCACCCTTCCCATGTCCTATAGAACATGTGAAGAGCCTTTCAAGTTTAATAATTGAGCTTTTGAAATGTGCTTTGATTTTACAAACCATAGGGGTCTATTCCCCATCCTGCATAGCTCCAATTTATGCAGGTAGAAGCTGTGGCTGTATCAAGAGGAGATCTCAGCCCACATTGTATTTCTACACCATGAAGCCATTCTGAAGAGCTGTATTCTTTAAACCACCAGCCCCCTACTTCCCCCTCAAATCTTGGGAACCCATGTTTCTCCCCTAAAGCCATCCCCTTATAATGCACACATAATACAAGAACTAGACTGTTTGTTTATTTGAAATAAAAAAGAGGGGTGGGATTACAATGCTACTGTTGCAGTATACAAAACACATCATTCAAGTTTGCTTCACATTTACAAAAAGTGCCATATACACAGCATCAGTATTCACAGCAACTTTGTCAGACCCTCTTATGAGCTGAATTTGAAATACAAGGGAAATCCAGGAACTGAAGAGATTAACAAATATCCTTCCATTCAGCCTGGTAACTGAGTGGCCTGCCAGCTAAACTGTTCCCACCCCAGAATGCATTTAAGTGGCCTTTAGGCCTGAAAAGATCAATGAATAAATTAACTTCCAGCTCCATCATTAGGTCAAAAATGTGTCAAAACTTGAGAACTCCTCTTTGAACACTTCCATTGCCCTCAACTTTCCCTTTGCAGGACCAGTTAACGGCAGTAGTATTAAATAAAGAAAATACCACAGGACTGAACATGGCACCATCTGTAAGGGAAACAGCAGTGTGTTAGGTCCTCTATGAAGAGGAAACTCCACTGCCATCATCTACCTTCTGGCTTATCCCACTGAAGTCTACGATAGCATAGGGAAAACCTTCACTTCTAGCCCTGACCTGCACTGTAGTTAGCACTAGTAAGTAACCCAGGTACCACCCAAGAGGTGGCTGCATTCAGCAGTGAAAGCAACACCGGCTGCGTACGCGGTCAGATGCCACATCAAAGGCAGTAAATAGATCACACATACAAAATCTAAAGTGGCAGGGGCTCCGGATCTTTTGAATTAAGATTACAAGCTTTAGTTTTTAACACTAAGTAAAAATGGTGAAAAGCCCCATGTCCCACTCGTAAAAATGATGTACAACCTGATGCTGAGGGTCTGGGAACATTTCCAGTGTAAAAATATTCATACATGCTTTGTACAATTTAACACCAAACGTAGAGTTTAGGATTAGGATAGGTGTTAATTTCAATTAAAACATTTACACATAGCCCTGCTTCACTACAGTTTATTGCAGACAATAGATCACTGTACATAGTTCTGGGTATACATTAGTTTGTGATACATGAAAGGAACTAGCCAGGCTTGAGGTTTACACAGCCTAAATTCCAGATGCATTCTGTATTAGAGCAGGGAATTTAGCTGAAACTTACTGGAAAATGCCAATTCTCAAAACTGAAATGTTGTGGAGACATACCTGTTTTGATCAAACTTTCATTAGGTCTGATTCAGGCAGAGCAGGGACTTGAATCTGGCTCTTCCATAGCCCAACCATTAGGGTATTGCTTGTTCGGTAGTGTCTCTGTTTGCTTAGAAATGCTATACCTGACGAACAAGTTTTATCAAAATCAGGAGAGGGGTCTGCTGCCTGAATTCAAGCCAGGGTTTGACCCTGTCTCTTCCCCATCCCAGTAGTGTACCCTAGCCACTGGGCTATAGAGTCAGTTTTTCTGGCCCAGTGAATAATTAGTCATATGAAGTGGAACCGCTTCAACAGGAGGTTGTGGGAGAGACACACTCTACACCTTAGTGATGAGGGCACCCACCTGAGATGTGGGAGGCCCAGGATCTAGGCCCTTCTCAATCTGGGTCTCCCACATCCCAGGTGAGTGCACCGGACCATTGGCTACACAGGGGTGTGCATCTCATTTTCCGTGAAAAGCTTCGCAAAAGCTAGATTTCATTCCCACAAGAACAAAAATTCCAAACCCTCCATTTTTCACAACATGGAAACCTTGTTTTCTTGTCAGCCCTACTCTGCATTTCAACTGGACTCTAGCATCCTTAAGGGAACTTTAGATTCCTAGACTACACAAAGCTGATGAAGTCCCTAGCTCCACATATAAGCTCTGCTTGTTTATGTAAAATCAGGGCAACTTTATCAGTTAAAAATGTACCAGTGTAAATCTACCAATGCAAGCTAAACCATTGGTTTGCATCAGTTTTAAACTGATTCAATTAAAAACTGGTCCAATTTGTGTGTTTTGACCAGGCCTGAAAAGGAGGCTTCCAGAAATACTTTAGACTGGAAATTTTAAAGGGTAGAAAAGAAATCCAATAGCTACTCAGACAATTTCATTTTTATTAACCAAGTACCTACAACTTTAAATCTGTTTTACTTCTAAATTATTATTTAGGTCTTACCTCTAAATCTGACTTTGAGGGTTAAAAGGATGAGTACGTTATTCCCATTCCCAGCTGCAAAAAGATAATACAAACCAGATTTAGTGCTTGAATCTAGCAAGGTTTGCATGTTTACTACCTTCCAGGAAATATATGACCTTTTAAAGCAGAAGGTGGCTACCAGAATGAATGGACAATTGAAACTCATAATGAAGACAGTGAAGGCTGGCAGGTAAAACAAACTAGCAGCTGTTTCTTGATTCATTACAGCAAGCACAGTGTAAAGTCACATATGGCGTTGTTCCACTGAAACGCCTGGCCGCTCCATTCAAAAAAGGACACAGGATAGTGTGGTTAGGAGTGCCCTGCTCTCTAAGAAGCTGACCAACACACAATTATGAGACCTGGGGGTTTGTTTTAGTAGACTTGCTTTTCGCTGTTTTTTCTGTGCCTCTACGAGATGCATGATTGAAGTATTTGAGCCTAAAAATCCTACATTTTGACATAAGAGCAGTAGTTTGGGTAGTGCCGGTCTCCCACACAAAAGGATAAGGAACCCCCTTATGGAGAGAGAAGGTAGTTCACCTTCCCTGACCTTTCTGCAGAGGCTACACCCAAGGGTGTCAACTGAGGATATTTGTGATTCCATCTATAAAGAATTCTACTGTTTCACAAACTGCAGAACAGCAGACAGAAGGACTGTGTGTTTAGGATGCTACTAATCTCTTGCACTAACTAGTCCTCAATTTTATTTTGGGCATAAGGACAGCACAAAAGAGATCTGAAATTTGTAGAGGTATATAAATACAGACATCAACTAGGACTATCAAAATTCACATTTAACTCTTCTCTCAAGAAATCCTTAGCAGTAATGACAAAATAAATGGGTATCAACACACTGAGTGTAAAGTCACTATATGATACATGAGCCACAAGGGAAATTCACATAATATGCTGAGAAACGTTTATTGGGTTTGTTAGAAATCCATGAACAAGCACTAACATAGTCTTGCAGGAAAAACCAGTGATGTACAGCAGAACTAGCAGCCTGGAAGGGGGCATTTAAAAACAGGCTCTTTCTAGACTATTTTTTATTTATATTCAATTACTTTTAAATGTAAGGAAACAATGGAGAGAAGAATTAATACTCAACCACTGGATGGGGCTGGTATAAAAATAAGTGCTTTCCATTGCTACTGATCCTGACATCCAAGGATGGATTGGAGCACTGGAGCCAGTCACTGCCACTCCAGCTTTCCACCACAACATGAGTGATGGTGCTTTGACAGCTATAAGAGAAGAGGTTTATGCACCAAATTATCACAAATCCGGACAGTCAGTGCCTTTCCAGAACCCGTTTGTGAATCCATCATAGCAGTTTGGATTTCTTAGCTAGCACCAACAGAAGAGGATTTAGCCGCTCTGTAAGCTCCCATTAGTCTTACCACAATAAGAATATATTGTTCAGTATTTAATTACCCGTTTACACAGTTTTAATCCAATTAACCCAGTGTACTGTCTATTATGTATTAAACTCACAGTACACTGTGAATAGCCTCAAACTACAGGCAAGGCAAGGCTTGGGGAAAACAGTTGCACTAGTAACTACTAGCTTCTTCAGCAGTTCCAATAATTTTCAACCGTGAGAACACCCCAGTATCCTGGCATACACACCAGTTAGGTAGGAATTGCTTGAGGTCAGGATGGAAGATTGATGTCCGTATGAATCTTAGTAGTTAGAGGCATAAGAAGCTATTCCTTATCAAGGATCATGACAGATTAACTTGAGGCAGAGAGTAGGTGATAGATCTATATATATATAGATATCTATCTATCTCAATATATATCTCCCCTAATCAATCCCCAAACACAACAGCAAACAACTTAAGTCTGTCTGTGCATCACCTTCTGTATTGTATTTTAAGTGCAATGCAGTGACTCCAGCTTATAGTATCTCGGCTGGTCCTGAAATATTATTTAGTCAGTTTTAGATGATGGCAAGTTACATTTGAAATGGGCCTCTCAATTATAAGTCAGATTTGGGAGCTCCAAGTTTAGTGTCTTTATAACAAAAAGCTGGGAGACAGTCTACTAGAACCTTCAAGCATCCACTTTCATTGCAAAGGCAGGTCCTCGCTTCAGCATTAGAGGTACAAATTTCAAAAGAACCTCAGTCCATTAACTTTCAAAGGGGCTTAGGTGCTTTTACAAATGTTAGCTTAGGACACCAAGTTTCTCACACAACAAAAACTGGGTGCCAATACCAGACTTTACCTTTAAGGCAGTGATTTTCAACCAGTAGTCCGTGGACATCTGGGGGGCCACAACTATGTCAAAGATTTCCAAAGGGGTGCACACCTCCACTGAAATTTTTTAGGGGCCAGGAAATGAAAAATGGTTGAAAACCACTGCTTTAAGAAACCACAGATTGGTTTAAAAAACTGAAATCCCAAAGATAAAGCAGTACAAGAATCTGTGTTTTGTAGAGTAGAAATACCATCCTCAGACACAATTCTGCCATGAGGGGGCAAATCCTGTCTCCCACCCCTGCAAGAGAACAAGGTGAGGGGATCTCTGCAAAGAACACCTTTCCCCTCCCCGCCCCCTCCTCCCCACAGCTTGTATAGCATTTTTCCCCAGGAAGGACCAATCTAGCCTTATGAATCTACCACACTCATAACCATGGTATCTGGGTGCTAGTCCCATGGAGTTTCTTCTACATTTCATTCAACTGTTAGTTAAAAAGGATGGTGGCTGAGTACTGATCACTTCAGCCATGTTTCAGTCAGACTACCATGATTTCATACTCCAACACATTTGCTCTGCTGCATACACATGCTTTAATCACAGAATGGTTCCAGAGGAATCCACTAAGACAACATGTGCCACAGCAAAGTTACACAGCCAGGTGTGCAAGCCCCACACTGCTGATTGTATTTGCTACATGTCAGCACAATCACAGTATGGAGCGGAGAGATACATATGGCCTCTCCCCAGCTGCTTGCTCTCATCTTGCAGACTCCCAGGAAGGGCTCCTCAGACTATAGTTGAGACAATGACTGTTCCATTCCCCTGTGTCTCATTTTGGAATTGTGTAGTGCTCCCATGAGCTGCTGGGGACAATGCCAAGCACCCTCTCAGAGGAGAGCAGTTCTTGTGCAAGACTGTTCCCTATTGAACTGGTACTCTGTCCAGTCTACTGTTAAATGTTCCAGGGAGAGAGACTATTCCACAATAATGTATTTAGGAAGAGCAATGCTTAGGGTGTTGATGTAGGTTCTGCAGGTTGTTTCAATACACTAGAGAAACAGGACTAAACCTATTCCTAGAATGACAAGTGATGGGCACTACTCAACAGCTACAAGTTATTTCACTAGAGGGAAGTTCTGAGAAGGTAGGTGAGGGAGGGAGGGAAAAAAAATCCAGTGGGACACTACTGGTCTGAAACTTGCTATTTTATTCAGCTCTCAACTAATTGCCAAAAAAAATGACATGGCTTTAAAACCCACAGTACCTCTTGACCCAGAGCAATAAGAAACAAAAGCTGTTTCCATAAGGAAATCTGAGACTCTCAGCTATCCAGTGGCATATAAACTTGCAGGTTGTGGGAAGACTTTAAAATCTCATCATCTCAACTGCCACCATGTACAACCACCAAATTAATCTAATTTGAGTGTCCACTACCTTGAAAATTTCTGAAGCTAAACACCAATGCTGAAAGTAGCTTGGACTCTTACCTTCCAAGTATATAAAGCATTAGGTTCTAGCTAGGGCAGTTTGAGAGAACAGCTGCTAAAATTATACCATAATTAAAGCAAGTCAGTAATCAGAATAATGAGTTTAGGTCTAATACCTTCTGGTCTGCCAGACCTAGAAATACTTCAGTGGACCAGTAGATTTTACAACCACTAAGCCTGAAACAGAGATTAAAAAACAAATTTATCAGAAAAATTAGATTTCATTTATATAATTTTTTTAAAAGCTCCTCTAACCCTCCCCATGATTAGAATTATTTCAGAAGGGCAACAGAATATTCGACTAGGACCAGTTGATTAGCACTGTTTTTTACAAGAGCCTATAAAGCTTTACTTCGCAAGGCCATTACCCACCACCAACCCTAGACTATCACAGCATTCAGATTGGATTAAAAATGATGCACTTGTTTCCCCAGGGAAGGGAGAGTTAGGTAGCATCTGAGAAGGGAAAGGAATCCTACCACAGGCACAACCTTGGTACTTGCCTCGAACTGTGCATACAACAGATGTCAGTTCAACTCTGAGCATTCCAACTGACAATGGTTTTCCATTGCTTGCTTTGCTAGCTGACACTGGGAGCTACAAACTCTCTTTGCAAATATACCACTAAGTTTATTTCAATTTGTAATGCACACCAATAAAAAACTAAACATTTCTTTAATACAAGTATGGTATCACTCCCAGGGATATTTACAGACAAGGCTATGGTTATTTTACAAATGAACCTATCTGTGCTTATGGTTTTCTAATCTTCTGAATTATTAGAATTGTCTATTGTAGGAGCACTATCATGCTCAACACATGAAACATTGAAATGTAAAGGCAGCTGGCTTGTTTGAATATGAATTGAGATGTGACTGCTCCTAGTAAGGGTAAAGGAACAATAGGAAAATGTGCATAGTCATTAAGTCAAGAAAACTTAAGCATCAATCCACACATGCATTTGTTGAATACTGTCTGGATAATTCCTTGCTGCTCTCAAATACCTAATACAGTATTTGTGCTCTGTAACAGAGTCCACATAAAATGTTAATGCATAACAAGCTGGTGCGCCATAGATTCACACTCTTGCTTCCCACACAATAAGAAGCCTGGAGAAGTGAATTTTACACATCATGCATTCCACAAACAAAACTAAAAATCTTTTTTTTCCAGGGAGCATCTAGTGGACTGGCATTTTTGAGTAGAAACAAAGAATTTTGGATGGCCTGAGAAAATGGTTCTTAACCAGACAAGATGGATTCTAATGACAGAAACTCATTTTGGAATTATTATTCCTCTGGCACTTTGTAGAAAGTTGAAAAGGAAATGTCCCCCACATAAGTTGGGTCCCAAAGGCAGAAAGGACAATTATCCAGTGGGACAGTCAAAGAAAACACTATTTCAGTGACAGTGACAAACAGGGGTTCCACCAGGATAATTCACACACGTTTCTGAATGCCTGATATAATCACCTTTTATTTTATAACTATCTCAGAACAGCTTCACCAAACTCTGAAAGTTTTGGTTAGATATTTCCCATCTAATTTAATACTTCTCTTTTATACTCTATTTACTATAAAAAGCCAGTTTAAGAAAACCAAATGACAACCAGAAATGACTGGTTTTGGGTCAAGTTATTGCAATGCTTTTGAAGAGAATCCCACTGCCTGATTGGAGGGAAGGAAAAGTGGTGATTACTGGGTTATATAGGAGGGGAGCATGGTACCTGTTGACAGTGTGTGAAATGAACTGAAGAGATCAGGTGTTAGCACAAGTGTGGTAAATGGTTAAAACGTATTTCAGAAAAGGATAAGGAGATTTGATCACCAGATATTATACATTTTAGAGTTGGGTCTCTGACATGGAATATATAAATGCTAATATTGTTTACTTATAACCATTAGAATTTAAAAACTTCCTCTTGATCCATATTTGGCACAAGCTGCCAATTTTAGCTTTCTGACTGCAATTTTTCCCCCCAAACCCTGAGAAATACCAGGAATTATTTTGCTAGTTATGGAGTGAAACATCTAATGCAGTGGCTGACTTCTCTCAAGTGGCTAAAATTGACATGCAGGTCACTTAAATATATTAGAATCACACATTATTTCTGATAGTTTAATATTCTGTGGTACAGTGAGTGCCAGTACTCATTAAGCAAACAAACAGGAGCACTGGAGACTGAAGCCCTCTTCCCACTAAGACTGTTCAAGAAGTGCCTCCTGCATTCTACCTGCTGGGATGCTCTCACCCTTGAGAAAAGCATCCAGTTTTCACCAGAGATGGTATTCAGGCTGCATCCTTCTCAGATTTCTGATCTTTCAATAAAAGGAAATTTATCCAATCAAATGCTGATGCTTTAACAGGGTCCATGGTTGCCTCAAAATTGCTCCATAAATCCCTTGTGCTAGGTATTCAGAGGATGCTCTCATTTCTGGAGTATGAAATGGGTCATTACACTACTGAGCTTCTTGAACGTCAAGTGCTCTATTTACAGGGTTAGGAACAGTGTCTTCTGCCTTCAGTAAAATGTATATGCTCCTGCACCTTCTGCCTCTTTCCAGACTGAATGGAGTCTTATGCAGTAGAGAAAAGGTCTTCAAGCTTCCCACAGCTTTCTCTAGAACACAGGAGAATCACAGAAAGTACAAGGTCCTTGCAATAACCTCTTGATCCATTCAGGATCTGCAAATAGGAAAACAAGTGGTTTAAAGCCCAAGTTACACAGAAGAAAGATCACAATGATGGATGAATATTTTGCTTCACATCCTTTAACTGGACCAAACTTCTTCTACAAAAGTCTCTGAAATGATGTTTTGAGATGTACATCTGACAAGACTCACTGAAGATTTAGGATGAACCCAACTCCTCATATTAATTAATTTAAATGCCATTTCAGCAGAAAGAGACAAAGTTAAGGCTGAAGCTGTCCACACCACCCTATAGCTTGCCTAGGTATTGCAGCTTGTCTTTACACACAAACAAGTCTGCCATGCACAGACAAAATGGGTAGAGTTTAAGGACAATTTTCTGCTATAACTTAGTGATCTTGTTTTCGTGGGTTGAAATTAGATCTTTGAATTACTGCAGTAATTCAGTCTCCCATATGTAAAATGAAGCCAGCAACGCTTTCTCCAGCATTTTAGATCCATTTGTAGCTGATCTGGTATCGATGAGAATTAGACCTCACAAGTTCTAGGAAGGGAACACACATGCCTGTAGAATAAAACTTCCTTTGAGATCGCATCAGTTCTGCAGAAAAGTGCTTTGGAAAACCAGATAAGTTCATATCCTCCCTGAAGAACAGCATTACAAAAATACCTTAACGAACTGAGGTTTAATATTTTGCCATCAGACACAGTAGATACATTTTTAAATGTTAAAACTTGGACATATAAAAACAGTGATTTCAAAGAACTATAAGGCATCAGCTGCAATTCAAAACAAGTTACTACAGAATTTCTGTCTTCTCAGATATAGGAAAAGCATGGAAGTTCAGAATCAAAAGACCTGCTCCTTCAATTTGATTACATTGTCTAAACAAGCTGTATTTATCACATTTCAGAGCCTAAGCCTGCAAGATGCCAAGATCCTTCTAAGCTTGTGCTGAGAAAACTCACCTTTCATTGAAATCAGTGGTGCTCAGCATTTTGTAGGATTGGGCTTGCAATTTGTACATGTAAAGAAATCTAAACAAATTAGTATTAATCTATCTGTTGTAACACTCCAGCACAGACTGCATATGTACTTGGCTCATATTAAAATGCAATACATATTTACACATGATTTTCTCTAATTATTATATTCTAATTAGGGCTTTACAACTGTGACACAGACTACAGTCAAACATCATGAAGAGTAGAATGTTACTACTCCATTTGATAGCTGCCTGAAATAACAGTTAGTCATTGAGCCGGATCCATGTCACTATACAGATGACAAAACACTCGGTGAGAAAATGCAATCTTGCCCTTTCAAGCCACGGAAGCAGCTCACCTTCTGGGGTTGGATGCCGTGCAATGCTGTCATGAAGCAGACACCTTCTGTATACCAAACTCTGGCAGGACTGGTAGGTTAAAAAGCACCTGAAAGGTGGCAAATTGCATCATCAAACAGAAGTTTCTAATTGTATGCTTTATGACAGAGGGATAAATTCTGTTCTCAGCTAACAGCTGTGCTTCTGTCAGGCTGTGTAAGAGCAGCATTTACCCCAATATCACTGATTACATCATATCAAAACCTTTAAAAAATATGAGTTAGCATTAACATTTCACATCTAACTTAATTAGCCAAATTACGTAGGCTGGCATGAACTAATTAAGATTGCCTTGTAAAAATATACATGTACAAGAGGTCAGAGGGCAACATATCAAGGATCAGGGAGGGAAGTATTTCCACTATTGGCTTTACAATTTTAAGCAAAATACACCTGAAGAGACGAAGATTTTGAGAGCTATTTTAATGGACAGTCATTGAACAGCAATCACCATGATTTAAAGATGCATGCAGGTTTTATGTACTATCTTAAGGGCTCACAACACTTAGAAAGGTCAAGGGACTCTTCAAGACAGTGGATTCTGTTATCAGAATAATGAATTCACACCAAAGGCTGTGGCCAAACCTCTACTGACAACCACCATTAAGTATCCAATTTCTTGGTCTTCAGTGTTAAAAGCTTTGTGAGGATTCTGCACTCTGGTCATTCTGAAATGATGTTAAAGTAACTCTGGGCATGCAAATTGACTGGTTTCATTAAGACCCAATCAACTGCCAGATTTGTTTTTGGCAACCAAGTAATTTGAGATAAGAAGCATAAATAGCCAGAAATGCACAAAATATATTTCCATAGGGACTTTTTCCTCTTCTACCCTCCCATCCAAAAAGCTATAAGCCATTTGATTTTCTTTGGGGGTGGGGAAAGGAGGAGAAGAGAAACAAAGCGTGAATTAGGAGCACTGAAGCATTAGTTTTAAAAATAAAACAATATTCAAAAGAATATAAATAAGGTCAAATCTAGGCCTACCTCCCTCCCTCTACAATATCCCTTAGTTCTTTCTCACTCTTACGAAGAGAGTACCAGACACCTTGTCTGCTTCCTCTCTTTTCTTTGCAGAGCATGGACAACATGCTCCATGCCATTAACTCATTCACAATATGAGAATATATTTTACATTAGCTACTGAAATGCCTTCCACTCATCCAAAACAGAGAAGAGAATCAAAGCAAAAGCTCCTTAACCGCTTACCTGAGCCAAATGTGGCCATTGGAGCAGACTGCCTGTTTGCGATCTGTGAATGGCAGGATCTCTTTACACAAGCTGCAGTGCTCCGGGAAAGTCTGTTTGTTCATTTTCTTTAAGATATGTCCAATCAGCACCTGGGAACACACAGCAGTCAGCAGTGTTTACAGGAAAAGACTGCCTGTTGAAAGGTGGAGAATCTCCCAGGATGGCATGATTTCAGAAGAAAATACAAGATGCAAAAATCCAGTGCACTCAACTGAATTCAAATGAAAGAAAAGGCAACTCAAATACATAGTGCTGTAGTAGAGATGGATTGATTCACATGCTATTCATGCAATCGGATGGATTTAATTGCCTAACCCCACACATCACTGAAAGGGATACAAAATTTGTTTTAAAATAACCAGGATTTTTGGTACTTAAATGCTAATGGTGACTGAAAAAAAAGCAACTTGGACTTGAGACCCACACATTACACCACGTTACAGAACATCAAAGGCAAGACACAATTTTTTTTAAATACGTCTCATGGCTGTGACAATGGAGGAGTTTAAAGTCCTGTTAATTATTTATGAATCTGATGCCGTTGTTTTAGCAATCACTATCAAACACAATACATATAGCTGTTCCACTGAAAGCCTAAGTATTAGGTCAAATTTATTACCATACTTGTCATTTATAATTTACCTTTGACATTTCAACGGATACAAGCCATATCCCTAAATTATGCTGAAGAAATATTTTAGGCAGGTACAACAGTCATGACTGACAGAGGTTCATAACAGAATTTGAGTGGTTTATATATATATATATATATAGCCTAGAAATCTACACTGCAACGAAACAGCCCCAGAGCCCAAGCATGGCAAGCCTGAGTCAGCTGACATGGGCCAGCCGATGGTTGTCTAATTGCAGTGTGTGCTCTAAGTCTGAACATCTGGTGGCAGACCATTCTCAGTAGAGGGTCTCTTGCTTCTCTTCTTTGTCTGATACAGCACATGTTTGCTAACTTCATTACCCACCACAAGGAACATAGTTCAGAAAAAAGCATGAGTGAACAGAGTTTGCTGTGATGAGTATTTTTGTTTTCAGGATTGGTGATGGATTGGATGCTGCTCTTGTATTTAAGTTTTACTGCAGACGGGAGAATTGTAAACCTGGGGCATGTTCTTGACAGTGCTTGGATGCAACATCCTATTCAGTTACGTTTATTTTAATATTTTTAGAATATAAATGGACCCAGAGGTTCAGGCAATACAACATGTTTTATAAATCAAATTTTAAATTATGTCTTTAAGATACTTCAAGTCAATTGATTGGTTTTCCATTTACATAATTTTTTGAAACACTGACTTTTACAATTTTTTTTTGTCATTTTAAAAAAAAATCTCAAACCTGATGCTTTCCTTGATTTCATAACAGCACTACTAAAGGAAGTGTGTTTAAAATAAGCCAAATTTATCATTTAAAATGAACAGTGACAATGTTTTACATAAAATATTTGTATTCAAGAATTAAAATTTTGAAGATGTAATAACTGATTTTGGGGGAAAAAGGCCGCCTCCATTTTAGTGTAAATAGATGAAGTGATAGATAATCCTAATCACAGGGGAAAAAAACAAGGATGCCCCCTTCTACCACCACATTCTTTCAGATCATTTAAATTATTGTGAAAGTGATTACAGGTCTGTCGTCCTCCCCAGTTTACCCATCCCAGCAGAAATGTATACACAGGTTTGTTCTTTACTATGCCTGACCCAAATTCTAAGGTGTGTATTCAGATTTCCCACATCCAGCACCACCCACCATCCTCAGTTGGAGAGGCAGGCAACTAATCTCCAAAACAGATACAAGCAACCGTCCACCTTCTGCCCCCAAGGGAGTAAAGCTGAGAATGAAGAAAACCAGGAAATTTTGTAGCATGGAATCCCAAAAAAATATACATGTGCACTTACTCGTGCTGTTCTGTCATCATAGCCTTCATCAGACATTAAGAAGTCACAGACTCCTCTGGTAGGAATGCTGGTGTTCTCTGTAATCCATGTATGCAAGTAGACTTCTCCCAACACTCGCTTCATGTGTTCCCGTGTCAAGTGCATTTCTACTGCTTCAATTCGTGCCTGTATTTCAAGGAGCTTCTCTTCCATTGGCTCATGTCCTCCTATGTCACTTGAGTGGACAAGAGTGTCATCTGCTGGATCATCTGGGTCTCTTCCTTTGCTCACTTCACACAAACTCTGCTTGCTGGCCTGTTTTGAAGTTCCCTCTTCTTGATGATCATCCTCAGTACTCCCCATCCCAGGGGAATCCGATATTAATACTTTTGTGTCCTCATGTGAAGGCCTCCACATGACCTCAGACGGAGTTTTCTGCATTGACTGGTACAAAATTCTCAAGAGGAATAGTTTAAAACGCCAAAAGTAAGTAGATCCACAGCTCTCAATCTTTTTATCCAAGGCTTCTTGTAAGAATTGAGGGATATGCTTATCCTTCAAAATCTTCCAGCGCACAAGGTCTGTCAGGTCCACTTGTCTGAAAAGATTTTGCACAGAAGACTCCAAGAGCTGAGCAGCTGCCTCCTCAAATGTTTTGAGAGTTACAAATTGAACTTGATAGTTTTTGTTTACAGGGTGAAGGCCGTTGGTCATACCCTCTGTTGTAATAACTGCTAGGTATGCGCCACATGGGCTTACAGCTATCCCGTGAGTCCGCACAGAGCCAAACACTTCAGACAGCTTAATAAGCTGATGCTCAAACTTTAATGCAACATCTGTGAAGATGGGAATGAGTTGCCTTACCTTTCCGTCACTTGAGCATGTGTATACTGTGCCATTCTGTTTATCCGCAGTCATGGATACAATTGGTAAAGAGTGAAGCCCTGTCACATGGGAATTATGGACATTCAGACCTGCTTTGGATATCAAGAGAAGACACCAAAACACATAAGATCCTCTTGCAGCCACTACTAAGCTACAGCTACATTTCTGGTAAGGATGGTAGAGAGGAATACATTTGATACTGTGTACTGGCAACTGGTCCATTTCTTGCCATAAGACAACAGGTTGCCTGAGCGTGAAGTAGCCTTTAACTGCTTTTAAGTTGACAGGAAGGATTTTAACTGGTCCAAAAGCACTCCCTACAATGAGTCCACTCATCTTTCGGTTGTTGTGTTCGTATTCCCACCAAGACAAGACGCTAGGGGAATTTATTCCTGACTCTATGGTATTGCAAGAAGTGATGGATTCCTTACCCACAAAAGGAAGCTGAAATTGCCAAACGGCAATGTTTCCGTTTTCAAAGAGTACGGCTAGGAGTACACTGCCAACATCTCGGCATTCATTGTTGTGTTTCACCTGCTGGGTGGTGCAGATACCTGACCACTCCATACGGACTGGAGTCTGCATGCTATGCCGTCTCTGAAATTCTGCAAAGTCCCCTAGTTCTCCTCTGGGGGTCTCAACCTTCGAAAGTTTGTAACTGGTTTCATACAGACGCTCCCCATAAATCTCTGTCAGATCAACCAGCTGCACCCACTGTAGTCTGTTAAGATTAGCATGGATGGTTAATCTATTGTCCATGGTTAGAGCAGCCAGAAGGCATCTTCCATTAGCATCACAGCCCAGTGGAGACCAGCTGGAATATTTGAATCCTCGCATAGGTGGTAGTGACTTTCCTTCAGGGTTGAATACTCTATCTAGCATAAAGGTTTGACTAACAGTTGGATCCTTAGAGCTTGCAAACTTTTCCTTACATTCTGCAACCTCCTTTTTTGAACCAACCTGAAACAGAATAAGTACTATTAAAACACAATTTTACAAAAACATTTCCTAAAACAGTATTTTAGTTGTACTATAACAGAAATATCAATTTAATAATTCTATGTGCTGTGTCCAATACAGGAGAGAGGAAGGAGAGAGGAAGGAGAGAAGGATTTTAGCTTTCATTAAAATCAATGGAAGACACGGCTGAAAGTATGGCCCCTATTCTGAGTAAATCTTAAGATGTGACCTTCAGCATTTGTGTCCAGTAGCTGAAAGGTACACACAACACTAAAGTGAAGCACTCCCTCATACTGGTGAAAAGAGGAAAACCCAATTGCAAATGTGTAATTTCTGCTACGCTAATCATGGCCTTTTACACTTCCAAAAACAAACAAACAACCTGAAAAGTAGCATGTAGTAATACACTCGGTTACTGTCATAAAAGTTTTTAAGTATCCTAGAATCAGGGTTGGAAGGGACCAGGAGGTCATCTAGTCCAACCCCTGCTCAAAGCAGGACCAATCCCCAATTTTTGCCCCAGATCCCTAAATGGCCCTCTCAAGGATTGAATTGACAACCCTGGGTTTAGCAGGCCAATGCTCAAACCACTGAGCTATCCCTCTCCCCCTCCCCCAATCACCATGAGTATGGATGCAACAAATGCACAAATAGCTACTAGCTACTTCCTCAACCAACAATAGCCCCAAATTTTGAGTATTCCTGTGAGATAGCATCTTCACACATTGTATATTTTATTAAAGAGACACACTAGAAAACTGAATCAAACCAATCAGTTTACGATCAAAAACTCCGCACACCACTCTGTGCAGGCTAGACAACTTATTAAAATATTGCTTCCATAAACTTTCCTACTATAACCTTCCCCTCAACGGTCTATTCTCTCTCTACAAATTACAATGAAGCCTCCAAACTCACTTAATCCTGTGCATCATCTAACCATGTTTATGGGAAGGTCACACACAATTCTTGATTACCTGCAAAAGTTTACAATGACTGTCACTTTTGGGTTTGGAAGGGTCATAGTCTTAGCCTACAGGGCATATTAACTTACGAATTATTGCCTCTCTCCCGAGTACTGAGCAGCGGTTACATGTATATTAAGTATCAGATGAGTACAACCTAAAATGTTCTAGTATTGCAGAGAAGCAGGATTTGGGAGTCCTCATATGACATCAGAGCTGTTCCAGGCTGAAACAGGCCTGGTAAGGCTGTGCTTACACTTTTCCATCAAAATCTGAATTATGAAGCTGAAAGATGCAAGTAAAACTCTTACTTCAAAAATTTTCTCTTTATCCCCTCTCCCAATTTGCATGTATTTGGCTTTTAGTAAATTTAGAACTATGCTTTGAGGCCTCTTAAAAATTGCCAACTATAACTGCATTTTGTGATTGTAAATTTCTCCTTTCCATTTGCAACTCAGCTGAGAACATAAAAATATTGACAAGTTCCCAAAACTGAAGTCTTCTGTTTATCCACAGAACAGATAAAGCAAAGGTGCAAGCTTCTTCATACTGTTCTCTCAGTGTGTCTCAACTATGATCTGGAGAATCAATCCTAGGAACAGATGGAGAGTTCACTCTTCTTATCCCTTTTAACTCTTGTTTCTGTGGTGGAAGAGGCAACAGTGTGTTGTGAGCCAGGAACACCAGCCCATAAACTAAGACCACTTCAAATGAGATTACTGGTTATGTCTTTGTTACTAATATCCCTTCAGTAGATTTGAACTGGTTGAAATGCTCTGATATTTTGAGCCATCTAATTTAATATTTCTAAACTTACTGCTACTGGTAGCCATGTTGCTAAATGTGACACTGGCAGTGTGGAAGATCTTAGATCAGATCTGCTGCAATCTTATGAGTATTTCATATCTGTATCTCTCAGACATACTTAATCAGGATTGGGGTCCTTCTGTGCTAGGTTCTATATAAAACAGACACAGTCCCTGGCTAAGAGATCTTACAGTCTAAGAAACCTACATTAATAATAACTGAAGTTGCACCTGAGTTTACTCATTGTCAATCTGCAACAACGACACTGAGTTTTACAACCCATGCCTTTTCCATTTAAGTTTAACCCAATTAGTTAAATGAGGGGTTTAAAAAGCCATTTAAGGGTTTGTTTACATTATGGAATTTTGCACCACTGAAGATGCACTGCATCAGTGTAACCTACCTCTGTTTGAAACTGCTGCAAATATTGGGGCAGTGCATCTTTACTGGGAGAGGTTTGCACTTGTGTAGCTAGACTGGTGCAAAAATCCATAATGTAGACAAGCCCTAAAATCAGCCAAAGATTTCAGGCTTAAATCTTTATATGCTAGCAGTCAGCAAAAACAGGTTCAATGGACTCTTCGGACATGCAGATATAAATACACTTAGGACACTCATACTAGTTTTTCAGTCAGCAAATAGCATACAACATAGGAAACTGCAACGAGACCAAACCACAGTTTACACATCCACCCCAAACAAATCCCAAGGTAACATATCTGATATTAGTGTCCATATTAGATCTGACATTAGGCTCTTCTTAAAGTCTGGGAGAAGTACTAAGAATGTCACAGGTACAAGGTAGAATAGATTATTTAGCATAAGTAGTTAACACATCACCTTGAATGATCTCTTAAATTTAGGGTAAGCGGCCCTTTAACACCTCTGAAGTCAAAGAACAAAAAAGGGTGGTTGGTGAGTCAAATTGCTGTAATAAGTCATAAATGCAGTGTGTCTGTTCAGTGCATAATTTTAGTGTCTAGCAAAGTTTGAGTTTAAGCTCCCAGACTTGTCTTTTGAAAGTGCTGAGGACGAGGACTGAAAGGTCAGATGAGTGATCATTTTATAAAACGTGTATGCCCACAGGTGATGGGGCATTTGTGTGTGTTATTTTCCTATATGAGTTCATTTGAGAACATATGGATTGTCTGGTTTCACCCATATAGTTGCTATTGAGGTATTTAGTGCACTGGATGAAGTAAACACAGCTACTACTCTGATCTGTTTGGTACAGTCTTCCCCACTGCACTTCTAAATGACAATGCATTTTGCTTAAATAATCAATACTCTTCTAGTTAAACAAATACTAGAGTAGAATGGAAGGTGATTTGCAGTCTCATACAAGACTGACACCAGCAAGTGTGTCAGTAAAACTTAGTCCTAATTAGAGTCTTTTTCAGATGCATGATAGTTGCACACTGAAACAATTTCACTTGGACATTCCTGGGATAAGCACAGGTGTAGTTTTAGTTTGTGCTTTAGTGCCTAGAACTTTTTTCAAGAGTTAGAAAGTCAAGTCGTTGCCTAGCCTACTTTATAAGAATACCTTAAAACTGAAAAAGTTTTGGGAAGTCTAATTTACTTGTAACTATTAATGCTTTTTTTACTTTCTGTATTTAGTTCCTCTTAGGAAAAGAAAACAGATGAGCAGTTTTACTTTCTGGTTTTCACGTACTAGGAATAATGCTTTAATCATGGTATAAACAAACTACAGGGAAATTTTAAAATCCAAAATAAAGTTTAACTTCTGAAAATTCTGTTTTAGTTTTCTTTTAAAGAAGAAGTGGCTCTGAAAATAAAGAACTAGGAAGGCTCAGGATATAACCAAGGTAAATGTTTTTATTTAAATAAATATTTACATTTAATGTACTATCCTGTATTACACCGTACAACAAGAACACACTGAAATGTGCCCTACACAAAATGAAAGTAGACGAAAAAGGACAGGGGCACAGATAGCCCAGTGGTTTGAGCATTGGCCTGCTAAACCTGCAGTAGTGAGTTCAGTCCTTGAGAGGACCATTTAGGGATCTAGAGCAAAAGTTGGGGATTGGCCCTGCTTTGAGCAGGGGGTTGGACTAGATGACATCCTGAGGTCTCTTCCAACCCTGATATTCTATGACATTGAGTGCCCTTCCCAGACCTAAAGAAAAGCTCAGTGTAAGCTTGTATCTTTCACCAACAGAAATTGGTCCAATAAAATATATTACCTCACCCACCTTCTCTCTCTAGTATTGGCAAAGATGCAGTCAGTCTACTCTAGGAGCTGCTCCAAAAAGCAAACCGAAAGCAACAAGGTTTTTTAAAAAGTAACGTTTAGAATGAACATTCTCCATACTATTATTTTGCGTGGCACTGATTGTGAGCCCGCTATACATAGATGGACTCAGCGAATATACAGGCAATACTTTGTACTGTCACATACAAACGGATACTGGTCCAGACAAAAACCTGTTCTTGCTGTTGTGTACAATGGGTATTTATGTGGTGTGTCAACACAGATCCTGCACTACTGCTGTACTCATGGACTAAGAAATTATCTCCTAAAGTTTATCCCAGGATAGAAAATTCGTTTTCCAGTAATTAATCCTTATCTGGATTAGCCTGGATCTGAGGAACAGCGGAGGTGGAGCCAGGGTGAGAGAAACTCCACTAGTAAACAAAGACACATGTTCCAACAAAACACAGGCCAACCTCTGACAATAGCAGCAGCTGTGGGAACGGGATTGGACCAAGAGCAGGGCAGCCTTAGGAGAGGGGGGTCACAGCGCTTTGAATAGTCAGTGGCGTGGCCAGGTCCCAGTGGTCTCGCCCTCAGCAGGCGGCTCCTGCCTCTCGTTTGGGGGGACGGCTGGAAAAGGCGAAGGGCAGAGCCCCTAACTAGAGCGCAGGGACCGGGAGAAGACAAGGATGAGCGTGGGGAGGGAGCGGGGCTCAACCCTGCAGCCCCCGGTCGGGAGAGGGGCACAGTCTCTCCCCGGCCCAGGGGCGCTGGTCCATCCGCGGGGCAGGAGAGGAGGGTCCCCAGCCGCCCTCCGCCGCCTCACCTTGAGCAGGCAGCCCGCGGCGGGCGCGGGCACGGCCGTGCGGTGGATGACCAGCTCCTGCCCGCCGCTGTGAATGTCGCTGAGCTGCTCCAGCACGGCGATGCTCCGGGCCGTGCTCACCGACACCCGGTGGTCCTCGGACCAGGCCAGCGGCTCCAGCCCGCTCACGCCGTGCTGCAGCCGCACGGCCGGCTCCCGCCGCACGGCCGTCAGCCGAAACCCCGTGCTCGGCCCCGCCGACGCCGCCTCCTCCGCCGGCGACTCGAGGCCCGTCGGTGGCTCTTCCCCGCCCGAGGACAGCGCGGGACTCCCCCCACTTCCAGCTGCCGCCTCCGCCTCCGCCATCTTGCCGCCGCCTCACACAAGCCACTCGCCGCGCATGCGCGGCGCGCGGCGAGACCGTGACCATAAAGGACCCATGCCCGGCTTGGGTTAGGGGTGGCCTACCCACTGCCTGACTAAAATCCATTCCTTCCAGCCGTGGATGAGAGCAATAACTAGAGTACGTGGAACCTTGAGTCATGATCATGGTGCAGGAGGAAGAGTGATATTATCCATAATAGTGATCAGTAATGATGTTGCACGGGGGCTATAATTATAATAAACCACAACAATACTTATTAATATTGCATGTAAACTAAAATTATAGTACCCTGTCATAACAATCATCCAAAAATGATGCAGGGAAGAATTTACAATAATGTCAACCAGTGTTATGACATGATGGCAGAGATTTAATGAATAATCATAGAATCCTAGGACTGGAAGGGACCGTGAGAGGTCATCTAGTCCAGTCCCCTGCAATAATAATACTGTGCAGCTGTATACTAAATAATATTACTATATTGTACACATTGCATTGACAGTAATTACTGTTATTAAATTGAAGATTTGACATTGTAACCTTCTCAAGGCAGGGTCTTTTTTGTTAGGTGTTTGTGTAGCACCCAGCACAGTGGAGTCCTGGTATATGAGTGGATCGCTTGGGTGCAATACCAATAAAATAAATAATAATAAAACGAAAACACTATGTTCTCACTGGACCCAAGTGAAATCCAAATTAAAAGGCTTTGCCTGCGGAAACTATGCAGGATTTGTAACAGTTGGATCCTCAGCCCCTGGCAAGCTCACAGCCCTTACTGCAACCACTAAGTCTGTGTAGCTACCTGACCTGCTGCCCATCCTCACCAAAGATACTTGGTGGCCTTACGCTGTATGCCAACCCATTGTCCTGGGGATATTGAAAGCTGTACACATGGATATTGACAGTGAAATGCATTTTAATTCTTGTGAAATACATGGGATCGGGAGAGATTTTTGGAAGAATAAAATAGGGAAATGAAAAATATTTGGAATAGGGATTGTAGGGTAATTTTTAAAGCTGCTTTCTTTGGAAAGAAGCATTTTTGCTCTACAAATGTAAAAGCGACATTTTAAGAATCTCACTCATTTATTTTGCAAAAAAAGAGAGCCTTCCTTCTTCAATTTTTTCCCCAGTTTGAGAGCAGCCCAAGTGGGTGAGATTTTAAATGTCTCATTGGTACTGCAAAAAAATCTTTCCTCACAAAAGAGAGAGAGAGACTTTAAACATTGCCCTTCAAATTAAATCCCTCCTCTCTCAGTATGAATGTAGGACCCTGAGCTGGTTGGCTCAAAATGAAATAATCTGTCCAGAAAAGTGCGTTTGCGATTTGTTGTTTAGGGGACTTTGGAAGACAGCTATGTTTGGGGTCCTCCCTCACTGGGCTGAGCTGGGAGTGGGTAGCACGTGTGGGGTCTGGTGTAGCTGGCTGCTGCTAAGTTGAACTCTGCCTTGGAGCTTCGGGTTCTCTGCAATCGCATGGGTGTCTCTGTGGAGTAATATGCTTCAGGGCTGTGGTTTTATTGCAGATAAAGGCTCCCTTCAAAAGCTGTGTATCAAACCATGGAGGCAGATGAGGGATTGATTCTCAACGTGAGTTCTCTGCCTTCCCCAGAGTCCCACCATTCTGCAGGACACAAGAGGTGCCGCAAGCCACTGCCCAGCAAGGACAAGTGGGTATGTTTAGCTCTTCATCCGAGTCTGATACAAACAGAAAAAATACTTTGATCAAACTATTCCAGAAAAGAATTCAAATGCAATATTATAAACCTAAACTGCTATGGCTTGTGATTTGCAGCAAGTCATTCCCTCTTTTTTTTTTTTTTTTTAAGATTTGAAATAAGCATTAGTTATAATTCACTTCTCTGTAACTGGGTCCACTGCACCCCGAATCCCTCCAACTTTAGTATGGATGATGGGATCTTGGTTCTGGGAACGAGGTGGTTCAGATAAGTGAGGTTTGAATCAGGGATCACATGCGAATTCTCCCAAGGCCAGGTGGCTCAACAAAATACAGTAGGACTTCAGTGCTCGGTCTCAGCAGTATTTCATTGTTTAATTCTGCTGAACTGACTAGCTTTGAGGAAGCTATTTGGGTGTCTACAGTCTGGGGGGAAAAGGACATCAGAAGTAGACTTTGAAGTCTGATCTTAGAGGATCCTGCTGGTTCAGCTTCCACTGATTACTCAAAGATTTTGGTCTCCCTGGTATTTTTGGATAATTGAGGTTGCACTGTCGTTAAGGTTACATATGGACTTTCATGATGAATCTCTTTTTTTCAATCACTTGTAACTTTCTCAGAAACTTTGCTTTTGGGCTTGAGTCTTTCTATGTTTGGTCTCAGTCCAAAGGAGAGTTTTATATTATTTGTTTGATTCGGTGAGACTCACTAACACAAACCAGTACCAACAGTATGCTTCCCTTATGCCTAATTTAAAAGCCCCCAACTTTATAAAAACTGCCTGATCCTGCAATGCTCACTGCTTACTCACTCAAACCTTCCCATTGTCTTTAGTGCAGCTACTGATGTGAAGAAAGACTACTCAAGTGAGTAAGGGTCTCAGGATTTGTTCTTTAGGCCCCAGTGCTGCAGCTGGATCTGCCTGGGCACATCATTGTGGGGCTCCGCACAGACACAGCGGTCTGCCCACACATGTATGTAATTGAAGGATTTTGTCCTGGTTCCTTGATCCTGCAATCGATCTGTGTGGACAGGGGCCTGGTCGTAGCACCACTGACTTGGCTCTGTGCGGACGCAGAAGTCCTTCATTGCAGGGTCAGAGCCTTAGGCCCATTAAATTCAATGGGGCTGTTCACAGGGTTAAAGCTAAGCACGTGCACACGTGTTTTTGTCGGATTGGAACCTTAGTTTGTGAACTCTTCAGAGTAGGGACTTTGTCATAGTCATAGAGGTTAAGGCCAGAGGGGACCACAGATCATCTCGTTTGACTTCTGGTATATCACAGGCCAGCACCCGCAGTCTTCATTTGTCTTGAATAGTACTGAGTGTAGTTAACAAATGATAATAAATATTGTTAATATATATATATATATATATATATATATATATATATATATAGTAATCATTGTGTAGTCTGCAAAGAGATTCCCTTGTAGTCTGCAAAGAGATTCCCTTGTGACAGGTCTTGATCAATAAATTAAATGCTGAAAGGGCTGCACAAGTATCAACATCCAAGAAAATTTATAGCGCTAAATCTTGTGCTTTGGAGTCTGTTGGTTTCCACCCCCATGGATGGAATTTGCACCCATGCTGAGTACCGTTGAAGTCAGTGTGTCTCTACGTGAGTGCAAAGGTCTGCCCATGTAGATCGGATTTTTGGATTAGGATCGTTGGCTGTGACTGTCGAAGTGAAAGAATACATCATCTGATGGGCATGATTTTGAAAATGTCACGTGTGAGCCTCTTTGTAACTTAATCCCTTTAGAACTCTGGGTGCTAGGAAGATTCTCAGCAGGCTACAGGCTGCCGCTTTCTCAGTTTATAATTTGTTCTTGAGTCATTTGAAGATTGTTGAATTTTGTGTAAATTTTCAAAAGTACCTAAGTGACTTAGGCACTTCTGAAAATTGCATAATCAATGGAATTATAGGATTCAGTTAGCAAGCTATTCCCCAGTAGAGGAGAGAATTCTGAAATAAGTTTTTTAACATCATGAGCAAATGACAATATCTTCTTAAGCACTGTGAGAGCATGATGGTTTTTAAGCGGATGCAGACGTGTTAAAATTATTAGTAGTAGTATGAAAATGTGTGTGATGTAAGTGTTTGAGGGCATGGAGGTTATGCTGATATTAGAAGGGGCACATAGGAGTGGGTTTGTTGACATCTTAACTGCCTGATTGGGGAACTTTTTTAAGAAAAAAGTGTTACGTTGACAGTCCCCCTCTGAATTTCAGCACATTTTGGACGAATGTATAAGATGTTGGACAAGATTAAATAAGATAAATCAATGGGGGAAATGACATGGAGGGATAATAAAAAATATTTAAAGAAAAATTGATGTGCAGTCGTCTTAAGACTTCTGTTAGCCATCTATGAAATAAGGGCCAGACCCTCAACTGGTGTAAATTGACACAGTTCCATTGATGTCACTAGCATTGCATTGATTTACACCAGATAAGGAGCATGCCCTAGGAGTTTGTTTTGTAAAGGCCAATATAATTGAAGAAAGAAAGGCAGAACATAATAAGGGGCTTGAAAGACATGTGCTGAGAAGGCTGGAAAGATTGCAGAATGAAATCCAGAATGTGGAGGATAAGGAGGAAATATAAGGACGAGTAGAGAAAGAATAGAGGATTGCTCAGTGAGTTAAGGTGATTCAGAAAGTTTTCAGGTATGTAAGCAAAACGACGTGACTGATGTAGGACATGCATGAGATGGTGAAGGACATTCAGCGATGGAAGAAAATTAAATTAATTGTGTGCCTCAGTATTGACAGAGGAATATGGGGCGAGCAAAAACATTTCCAAAAGGAAGCAGAAGGAATTTCAAAAGAAATTAGGATCACTATAGAGCCAGGAATAGAGAGATCAGAATTCCTGAAGTCTGATGGAAGCACAGGTCAGAATCAAGGAGGATTCATCCCTGAAAGAGAGAAAGAAAGACGAGGGGTTGAGGTCTGGCTTCAATTTGATCATGAGATTTGCACAGCAATGCTTTGGATTATATGTATTTTAAAGAGGGTACTGTTCAGTTACTATAGAAACTGAATCAGATACAGTAGTGATGGGCACCAAAATAAGAATTTAGATTGTTACTATTTTATTACAGTCTCTGCTCTGAAGAATGTGAACAGATCCAGTTGTAAAATCAAACTCTGTTCTCTATACGTGGTCATGAAGGTTCCAATAGGAAGAGATTTGAAACTCTCTGGGGCCTTAGGAAGGGTATAATATTGCATAGTTAATCCTTATGTATTAATCCATCCTGTTTGTTTGCTATCACTGAAGCAACCTAAAGCTCTGAAAAGGAAGCTCCAATGGGCAGACGAAGGCGCACCTTCAAAGCAGAAACACAAGTTGTCAGTATCCCCAATCAAGAAATGCACTCAGGAGGCTAACATCTGCGTGAAGGGAAATTTGTCATCAAAATCTCCTCCAAAGAAGCACTCGGCTGACAGACAGAATGAGAGCCTAAGTAGCAGACCTTTCATTAAGACGTCTTGTCTGTTTAAAAACAACCCTGAGATTCCAGAAATTCGCAGGTATTTTAAACAAACAATCCCACACACCCCACTAAAATGTTATTGATTTATCACCCTTATATGTACAAAGTATGAGGCTTTGTCCTTTTTCCCCCCATTGCTATGTACTTGCAGTCTCATCATCCATCTGGTATGGTGGTTTTCAGCCATTTCTAGACCAGGATCCCCCACCCATGTACCTTGGTTCTAGCCAGGCGCCTTCTCCCATTTCACAATCTGGGAAGGTATAAGAACCCATGTCAAATAGAATAGGAAGGGCAGGGTAGTTGTGACCCCCATGCTGAGAGCCTCTGATCTAATAAGGCAAAAATCCTGATTCTGCTTCTGCTGAAGTCAGTACGAGTTTTGTCATTGAATTAAGTGGCAGATGGAAGAATTGGACCTAGGGTTGGTTGGTATTTTCAAAAGACCCATGGCAGAGAGTGGTCTCAAACCACTCAAATAGACTGTACCTCTCCCTAGATTTATAACACTGTAGCCTGGAGACCATCCTGGTTTGCCCTATGGATTTAACCTGGCTCTAAACTGTTTTATTTCTTGGATGGTCCTTTATGAATCCCATGCCCTTTGGTGGGGTAGGCCCTCAGGAGCAGGAGTATTGTAATAGGTTCCCTAGCTGCTGTTAACAATGTACTGATTAGGTAGTTTTCCTTCATTGTCTGTTGTCGTGCTGGATCGTGAAAGGAGGCTTTAATGGGAGCCCCTGTAAAGAAAAAGCAGCATTAAGTAAGGGGTCAGATTCACTTTTGCTGTCTCCAGAAGGTGCAAATTACATTAGGATTCCACCAATAATGGGGGATTCCCCTAGAGGGTGCCCTAGGGATGTGCTGAATCAGCATATTCCATGCTGGCCTGACCATGTCCCTTCCCCAGGCAGATGTCTTGTTCCAGGCAGACTTTCTGCCACTGGGATTTTTGCATTGGAACCCAAGCTTGACTCTCCTATGAATCTGGCCAGTAGCCTGTGGGTGTTTGGAACTGTCTCAAGTTGCTTTGGATTATTTCTCCTAACTTGCAGAGGTGGAGTGAAACAGGTGCAGGAAAAAGTTTTCACTTCGGATTCATTCAGCCAGCTGGACCTCCATCCCCATCTGGTGAGTGCTAGATGGGCAACAAGGTCATTGTGTAGTGGTGTAAGGCTGTTTTACAGAGTTGTTTTTAATGGGTCTTTGTTTGGGAGGGTTTGTGCTTTTATACGTGGAGATGAACTTTTGGAGGATATCCCCCTGTGAAGTGAGACAAGCTCCCTGTAGGAACCGCTCCTGGTGACTCCAATTAGCTCACTAGTGATGTTGCCATCTGAGGGCAGCTTTTGCATCAACCTCCCAATCAGTACCCTTAGCTGTGCTCCATCCAATGTCAGCAACCCACATCAGCGCTACATCCAGATGCCATTTCAACACCAGTAGCCCATATCCCCACCAGTCCCAGGTCATCTTTCTCAGCTAACACCAGGTCCAGCTGGCACCCGATCCCACTGCATCCAAACACCTCCCATGGTTTCATGTGGGTTGCCAACCAAAATATGTTGAGGATCACTCTGAGGCCATGATTTGATAGCATGTCATGACCCGTCAGGATTAATAACATTTTGAGGGACTAACAGGAATACTTGTAGGACCAGTGAACTTTTCCAAGCACTTGCCTGGACTAGTGATCAGAGAGAGGGAGAGAATACCATGCTTTGGGGTGTCTCCCTCTCCTGCATTGCAAAAGTCATGAAAGTGAGTACTATAGAATTAAAACCTTTTAACACTGTATTTATCTCTTTAGGTTTCCACAATAACCACTGTCTTGAAGCTGTCTAGTATGACCAGGTAAACTAACCTGTATAAAATACTTTTCACTTCTGTAGCACCTTTCACTGGATGATCTCCAAGCACTTTACAAACGTAATTAATTCATAAGCCCCCACAATTCCTGTGAAAGTCTACGGGAGCTGTGAGTGTGCCGCACCTCCAGAAAGCAAGCCATAAAGTAACTTGATGTAGAGAGTCATTGGCAGCGCTGGAAATGGAACCCAGGAGTCCTGGCTCTTGGGCTTTAACCACAAAATCATCCTTATTTCTATTTAGCACAAATAACATTTTTCTGTTGCTCTATTTTCACGAATCCCCATTTCTGGTGTAGTAATTTTCAGCAATAACTGGGAGAGCATCCAGGTTGTGTAAACCCAGGTACATGGTTTTGAAACAATTGAAGGGTTTTAAAACCTCACATCTTTATTAATACTTTGAGACTGGTTTGGTGTTCTTAATTTGTGTTCTTTGTTACGTAGTGTTCAGAAGCAAACTATTCCTGTGCTGCTAAAAGGCAAGGATGCACTGGTGAGGTCCCAGACAGGGTCAGGTCAGTATTTAATTGACAGTGTTCCTTACTCGGGCACAATATCATTTGGATTACATATACTTAAACTAAGCGTTACGTTCACCTGTTACAGTTTGTGAAAATGACAGACCAACAACACTGGCTAGAGACAGGCACACTGTAGATATGGGGTGTGCAGATTTCTTCCATGCAGCTCCACCAGTGTATCTCAATCATGACATGCATCTGCCAGCTAGTCCCAAACCCAAGGAGCCCAGCAAAGGCCAAAGAAGAAGCCACACTCAAGGGGACCAGTGGATCCAGGCTGCACGCAGTGTCATATTTTGAATACCTGCTCAGTCTTTTGTGAGCAGCATCAAATTTTGCCGATTCACATAGGTGGGGCTGGAAAGAGTATCACCACGTTTTTTCTCCCAGTCTGACCCCATGACCCATCAAGCTTCCCATTTGAGGTTTCTGGCCTCTGACCTCAATTTAGGAGCAGTGGGATCTCTGTTTTTTCATGATTCACTTAAGAACATAAGAACGGCCATACTGGACCAGACCAAAGGTCCATCTAGCCCTGTCTTCTGTCTTCTGATGGTGGCCATTGCCAGATGCTCTAGAGAGAATGAACAGAGTGGGGCAATTTTGAGTGACCCATCTCCTGTAGTCCCATCCCAGCTTCTGGCAGTTGGAGTTTTAGGGACACATGGAGCACAGGGTTGCGTCCCTGACCACCTTGGCTAATAGCCGTTGATGGACCTATCCTCCATGAACTTATCTAATTCTTTTTTGAACCGAGTTATACTTTTGGCCTTCACAGCATCCCATGGCAGTGAGTTCCACAGGTTGACTGTGCATTATGTGAAAAAGTACCTCCTTTTGTTTGTTTTAAACCTTCCTCCGATTCATTAAATTTGATTTCCCATCACTACTGAAATCTACAATTTCTACCAGTTTTAAAATGACATAAACATCTTGTTGTTTTTCTTACTAAGGTAAAACTCTTGCCTATGGCATCCCCCTTGTACAGTCCTTGCAGGGAATGAAGTCAAAAATACAGGTATGTACCATAGAAATAAGTGTGCTCTCTTTTATTTTCAAAGCAATAAAAATAAACTACAGCTGGTGCACTGAGGTCAGTAGTGTCTCTTCCTGTTATGATGGTTAAGCAATCTCTCTCCCTATTTAGTTATGACATTTTGGAATTTGGCCTACATGACCCTCGTACTCTGTAAATATAAAAGCAATATAAGAAAAATATTAAGGGCTATATGTTCCCCTACACTTAATGTAGCACAGAGGGTTGATGAATGGGCCAAAATCTTAAGGTGGGGAGTAGGGGAAGGGAAATATCTGTGTAGTGGGAAAGGTGGTTACATGGCAGATGTCCTCCACCACTCCTGCACAGCTACCTCTTTCCTTTCTGCAGCAATAGAGCCTGGCTCCATGTTCCTGAAGCGGGAAGAGTCGGAGAACAGCTGCTTTATCTTATACGTTCCCTCTCAAGTCCATCAAGAGTTGCCATGCTTAAAGCATTTGGACGTTGACACTTCTAGGAGCAGCAGTAGCTCCCTCTCCGTGGTTTTTCAAACCCTGGTGGGAGTGGTCAGTGCATGCCGGGAGGCTAGCTTCAGAGCATGGCAGTGGCTCAGAACTAGGGTGGAGGTCCAGAGACTTGCAAAGGCAGGTTCCTGGTATGCTTTCTCCTCTTCACATCCTGGCCTCCATATATTTCAACAGCCTCTCTCCATTCAGATCATCATGTTGACCCAGGGGATGGTGCTGCAGATCCGTCCTCCTGTTTTGTGCCTCTTTAGGATGTGACAAGGGGGATTTGTTCTGAAATTGTTTATGGGTTGAAATAATTGCAGAACAGCCTGGGTTGTCACTATCTGTCTCTTGTGTGTCTAATTGTTTCTGTGCATCAAATATTAGTGTATTTCTGCAGACTAAAAAATAATATGTGAAATTGTATAGATCATATATAACAGGTGTGAGTAACATAATAAAATCTTAGCTACATGATCAGCATGGTGGATTTCACAGTGCAAAAAAGAGAAGACCATCCTCTGCTAACATTTAAAGGTTGTTAGCACCAGGGAAGGAAAAAAGATTTGTTTATGATTATAAGTAGGAGTAATGGAATGACACTGTGCAAAAACAAATGTAGGTTGAATATCAGGGAACAACTTCCTAACGGAGCTCTGCCGTCTAGTAGAAATTCACTAGAAGCCTTAAGGAAAGTGATGGAATCTCCATTGCTTTGAGTCATTTCAGACTGGACTGGGCAATGCAGTGAGGGGGACAATTCTGTCTTGAACCTTCGTAGGATTGATTTCGTGAGCGAATAGCCATCTTTGTCTTCTACGATTCTCTGAGTTCACGGTGCATTCTGCTCAATGGTACCCTGTCTCTTCTATTTGCAGCGCAGTGATGGGCCTTATGCACTTATATTAGTTCCAACAAGAGAGGTAAGTTAAGTCGCCTTTTTTCGAAGGTTCATGCAGGCATTTTAGAGTTGTGGTTCTTGTTACTTTCTCAGGCCCTGAGTATTTGGCCATTGATTCCAGGAGGAGCAGGTTTGGGCTCTTGGCAAGCTCAAGAGTGCTCGTGAGCCGTCTTAGCTAGTGAGAAGTTTACATGAAAACTTTCAAGTGCAGGAGAGTTCAGTGCTTCCTGCCCTACGCTCTGATTTCCACCCTAAGTTACATTATAACAACCTAGTTCTTGCTCTGTGATCTTTTAGGGATATCCTTGATTTTATTCCAGTGCCGAGGGGTAGATTTTCAGGTAGAGATTCGTGGCTCGTGTCATTGCCAGGAGGAATTATTGGCCGAATTCAACTCCTGGCATAAGCATTTGCGACTCCATTGCAGGGAGCGGAGTTGTGCCCACAACTCCCAGTGGTGATCTTTGGCCCACATGGTCTCCAGATCCCCCACATGGAAATGTTTCTTCCCGGGATATCCCATATGATCAGCTGGCATGTTACCAGTTAGTGGTGAACTATAAAGAGAGGCAGTCCAATCTTGATTTCAGTTCTGTACCCCATGTGTTCCCTTCTATCAAAGTCTCCCTGTCATCTTTAATTTAACAAAAAGTAAGCATTTAAGAGTGAGAGATTTGGGAAGCCCAGTGGGACAGTTTGGTGGTTCATCTCTTCTCTCCTTTCCAATCCTTCACTCAAATCTTCCTCTTCCAGTAAGAATATTTGCTGTCAGTATGAAATGTTTTCTCTTGCCTTCAGTGCCATACAGAAGTAAGCTGGGGAGAAACATCCAAGTTTCCCCTTGTGTTTAAGAATTGGTGGCAACACTGGAAGCTCCTTGGCTTAATACATAGGAAGGGAGAAATTTGTCTAGTATGGGAAGGGAGAGTTTGAGTAAAATCAGTGCTGCAAACGCAACGGTTTATACAGACATTCCTGTTGATTTTTAAAGCCCCTTTTCAAATCCATCAGTGAATGTATACGCAAACCAGGAGTTTGTTTGTTCTCTGAACTCTTGTTTGATTTATTTTATTTGCCTTACAAAGGCAATTTCAGAGCAGAGTATCAATGTTTTCCATATCAAACGCTAATAACTTCCATGTGGAGAATTGATCACAGGTAACTAGTTTTGGGCACAATGTTTTATGCAACCTGCATTGCAGTATCTCAGCTCAATTCTGGGAAGGGAGAAGGCTCTGAAGCTATTTTAAATTTTTTACAGTGGCAAACTTTCTGATTCCCCAGGATGCTGCATAAATACTAAGCATGTTCATAAAATGGATTAAAGGGTTGCTGTTGAGTACATTTATAAAGTTAGTCTGTGATTACAATTGGTATTATTTTTACTTTCCAGGGTTTGTAATGGCCTCTTTGAAAGTTTGGCAAATAAATAATATTTAGCACTTGCCCACGTTTCGTCAGAGGAATTCAAATCATTTTACCCACATAAATAAGCCTCACTCATATACATGTGCAACGTGTGCTCGGTAAATGTTATCCCCACTTTGCAGGTGGGGAAATGAAGTTGCAGAAAGGTCACATGGCATGTCCTCGGTCGCACACTGAGTCAGTGGCAGTGCTGGGAACGCAACCCACAAGTGCTGGCTGCCAGTCCACTGCTTTAACCCATGGTTTACACTCCCTTTCTCTAACAGTTTTCTCCTGGAAGACATTCCATATTATCCCACACTGGTTTTAGTGAAGGAAAACCCAGCATGCCTTGGATAGTTTCTTTCTTGTGCATCAGCATCACCGAAGATGTCAACGGAAATGTGCACAGCTCTGAGAACAGTGTTTATTAATTTTATTAATTTGAACCAGCAGAGGGAGCACAAGACATTGTTTTTGTATAGGTCCAAAGCAAATAGAGGTTTCTTCCTTTTTGCTGACTGTTTAATTGATAGGATACTGGGTGGGGTATATTTTTTTATTTAATAAAGATATTTAGAATTCATCACCAACATACATCACCAGTTTTTAAGAGTCTGCAGAAAAATCAAAATTTGATATAAATTGTGTGAAGCTATCTTTCTAGTACGGACGTGTCAGACTTCCATAAAACTTTATTTTCCATCTGTTGATATCTGCAGCTAGCCCTACAGAGCTTTGATACAGTCCAGAAATTGCTGAAGGTAAGGATTTCATTCTTTATTTCCTTTTCACTCCTTCCCGAGCCTTTTGCTATGAGATGCTGAGCATCGTCACTTCCCCTAAGCGCAATAGGGAGTTGAGGGGACTCCGTACCTAACAGGATATCTAGTCCTTAAAGTAAAGAATAAAACCTGTTCACTTTGTTTTTAACGTTCAAGGGAAAGCTGAGCACATTTAAGCTTGATTTTCCCTATTGGATGTTTTCAACTATTCAGTGACTGCTGTGATGATTCTTTCTAATACCCTAGGGAGCTAAATACATATTTGTTAAAGAAGAGTAGTAGATATTAAAAATAGATTTGTTGCAATGTTTTGTTTTTAGAGATGCCTGCCACTGCTTCAGAATTTCCATGTCTCTGAATGGGAACTCTTACCGGGACAGATACCACTGGACTCAGACTGATGTTAGACAGAGAAGGCTCTGATGTAGTAAAATGGGCCTCAGGGAATCAGAGGGCCTCTTGAATGTGTGCGGAAATTTGAGTCTTGCAAAGTGTTGTGTTGGTACTTTTTTTTTTTTTAATTTGGTTAAATTAACCCAAAGAAAATGAGGGTAAGAATAATAGAACGCCCCTCACAACAGCTTTAGGCAATGGTCCTACAAACACTTACTCATATGTTGAACTTTACTTCCGTGAGTAGTTCCATTGATTTCAATGGGACGACGGCCAGTGGTAAAGTTATGCCTATGAATAAGCATTTGCAAGCTCGAGGCCTTAGTCTCTGCCTTCCCATGCAGCCAGCTAGTTTCCCAAGTCCTACCCCATCACTCTACTGTCAAGGTGTTTTTTTAAAAAAATTATACTAAAGACATTTTAAAAATATTTTAGTCATTTTTTCTTTGTAATTAAATGTCATAATTAAAAGATCTTTGATATTAAATTCAAGTCTTCCTTTTAACATTGGCCAATTGCATTCCATCAAGATCTAGAGCAGTTAAAGGTGACATTTCAATGAGGAGGGGAAAATTGGACTTGCACTCTTGTTTTCTTCTTTCTTATGTGTAACAGGTAATATCCACACAAGCAAGACTAAACCTGGTTAAAATACAGTCATGGCCACTGCTTTGTTATGGTGTGATGGCCCAGTGTGGTAAAATTTGTAGTGTTGGTGAGGCCTACATTTCCTGGTATAGCTAATTTCTTTGATCGGGTTTTTGTAAGGGCTTCCCATAATGATGAAGGGGTGGAAAGACATTTCTGTAAGGAGCTGGCTGAATTCCTGTTGAAAATATTAATGCTGCTGGGATTTTATTGTGTTTGTTAGGGCACCTAGAACCTTGGATACACTCCTTTTAAAATATTATTTATTTATTTGATTTATTATAAGTTTAAATGTAATAAATTATTGGCGATGGTATGCTGGACTAGATGGTCCAATGGCCCGCTCCGTTAGGGGAGTTCTTGTATTCCTGCATGGCATGTCACAAGCTGAGCAGTGTCCTGGCCTTTACATATCTTGTGGTTAATTATGTACCGTGTTAAAACTTATGTTCCATCTTTCTTCCAAGCCCCCTCTTGAATGAGGTGGAGGGGGTCCGTATTTTGTTTTCAACTGTTAAAAACTGGGCTTCGCTCTATTCTGCTGGAGATTAGGACCCCATTGACATCAATGTCAGAACTCCTATTGACTTCAGTGGAGTTGGTATTTCACCTTGGGAGCCTTTATTAGCCCAATAACAAACCTATATAAAGGATCTTTATTATGTTTCTTTATATTTTGCTTGGCTATAGGAAGATTTTGCTTAAAAGGCAACAGGAAGAAATAGAATCGCAAATTGTCTTTGATCATTTAGGTTACACAGGGAGGAGGGGGAAACTTATTATACTATTGGAAGCGATGCAAAAATGATTGTATTTCCATCTTCCCAAACAACATTAGAAGCAAGTTAAATAGCTAGAATTAAATTTACCACTGATATTTAGCTGCAGGTAGTACAGTGCACGTGGGCTGTATCTGTTAGATCAAATCAGAAGCACAGCTATAAATCTGAGTTGCCTATCTTTTTGTCAAGAAAAATCAGTTTTGGATTAGTATCAGGCCTCTTCTTAAGACTACTTCATATAGGTCTTGGTTTACCCCCACTGTAGCCATTTACCTGGATTGTGCCTGGCGTGCTAATGGGGGGAGAAAAGAGGAAGTCTGAAAAAGCCAGGTAGGAAGCCAATTTCTTAAAATTATGTTTGGGTTCTACTTGTATCCTTTCATCTGTTTCTATTGCTGAGAATGCCTTTTTATTGGGAGAGATGCTTGTGGCTTGATCAAGGGGTGACCCCCCCCCCGATCTTACACAGAACTAGTGACTGGGTCAGCAGGGAGCATTCGCCTCCCTCAGTTAGCTCTAGTTTTAAAATGTTGATGAGCCTTCTGATGAGATGACCCCTGTCGAAGTCAGTGTTTTTCTTCCTCTGACAAACACCTATATTTGCTTAGTCTACAGCACTGTCTGAAACAGGAATGTATTTGTCATGGAGATAACAGCTGGATTTTTTCCCCCTACTGTTAAAATCTCACCCTTTTTATTTAATTGTAAGCAAATAATCCTAAACAGTGTTCTTGCATGAGTGGATATTACATATATAAGAGCTGTGTGGGAACCAACATTTCCATTTAGTGGGAAATTCCATGATTTTGACATTTGTTTTAGTTCTGAATCGGAACAAAACCAAAGATTTTCTAAATATTCTGCAAAACAATTTTCAAATGTTGTTTGTTTTGATTTTGACTTTTTTAGTTTAATTTATCATGTAAAATAGATTTAAAAACAAAAAATTGAAGTGTTCTATTATGAAGAAGTCAAAATGGAACTTTTCGACATTATCGAAACCTTTCATTTTAATTTTTTTCAAAATTTCCTCAAAAATCAGCACTTTCCCACAGAAAGTTTTGATTTAGATGAAAAGGCATTTTCCAATGGAAATCCTTTCCATTGGAAATTTTTTTTGCCAGTTCTAATACATACATGTACACCTTGTGTGGTTAAAAATCAAAACTTCTTTTTTTTTTTCATTTAAATTATTTTTTTTAATGAACCTTCTATGGTTAAATTTGCTGTAAGCGATTAAAATCATTTAAATAACATTTTAAAAATATGATGCTTCACTGAGCCCTCCTCAACTCTGAGTGAGTTAATGCTGCTTTTCAAATTATATATAAAATCAAGAAGAAAATGCATTTAATTTTTTGTGATCCATTCAAACTTATAAATGTCACAGCCATGTTTGACATTAAGTATCCGTATTATTGTCCATCTTTCTAATGAAGCAAATGCTGGTATTTACATTTTTTCGAAATGGAAGTATTTCCAGATTGTGTTGTGCAGAAAAGCTTTTGCCTTAATTGCTACTTAAACTGAAACTAAAAGTATGTGCAGAGGGAATGTTTTCTTCATTTGAATTAGTTCATTCAAAGTTGGGAAGCTGATTGGGAGTTGAAAAGGCAGGAAAGCTGGTTTTCTCCTCCAATCTATGAATAAAAACCAGGTGGAAGACAAAGAGGTCTACTAATTCTAAACGTTTGAAGGATGTGGTGTCAGATGTTCAAAGATATTACATAAGAATGGCCATCCTGGGTCAGACCAATGGTCCATGTAGCCCAGTATCCTGTCTTCTGACAGTGACCAATGCCAGATGCTTCAGAGGGAATGAACAGAACAGAGCAATTACTGAATGATCTATACCCTGTCATCCAATCCCAGCATCTGGCAGTCAGAGGCTTAGCTATCTTGGTTAATAGCCATAGACGGACCTATCCTCTAGGAACTTACCTAATTCTATTTTGAACCCAGTTATACTTTTGGCCTTAATGATGCTGATAAGTGCCTTTTGGGGTTTTCAGAAGTGCCAAAGCAGGCTGGGTGCTAATTCTCTTTAATTTCAACTCCCATTGATGTCAATGGGAATTAGGTGCCCAACCTGTGTCGGCACTTTTGAAAATCCTACGATGCACCTATCTGCATCTTTAGGTGCCTTTGGCAGTGCTGGGAGCTAAAGATGAGCCAGCACTCTGATCACTTATGTACCATCAGCCCTTCTCCCCCACACAAGGCCTAGTGGGGATATGTAAGATAATTAACTGGGAAGGCTGATGAACCAATTAGCCCATCTATAAGAAAGGCACAGGGAGGAAGTAGTGGAGAGAGGGCCTGGGCTAGCTGAGGCTGGTGTGTTCCGAGAGCTCAAGTAAGGGAGATCTCTGTTCCTCCCTAGCCCTGTGGGAAAGGGCTAAAGGTGACGAAGCGCTGTAAAAAAATTTGCTGCACAAGATTGTGTTGGGGTTGGTGATGGGAATGTAAATAAATCACATGAAGTTGCCTCTTACTGCACAGAGTCTGAGAAGTTTCTGGGGCATCAGAGTACAGGAACAGAGCATGTCTCGGTACAGTGCCTACATACCTTTGAAAGTCTGGCCTATGCTGATCAGAAATAATCCATCAGTTCACTAACTACAGTTAATATTTCCTTTGTTTTAGAAACCAGTTTTAAATGCAGAGCTTGTTTTGATAAACTTGCTTTTTTTTCTGGTACATCCAGCACAAATTTAAAATGCTGGTTTTGTGCAATTTTAATTGAATTCCAGTTTACATCCAAATGCGGCTTGAAAAAAATCAGAAATTATCATCTAGTAAATAAGAAATGCATCACTTGCCATTAGCTAACATTATAAACCATGTAAAATTCAATGAAATGTATATCCAGCTATAAAATTGCTAAAGTAAATGTGTATAGATACAGTGTATCCTCCTGGTTAGCAAAAACAAGTACCAAATTTAGTGTAAAAGCTATATTTTAATCATTACCAACCAGTTAAAAAAAAATTCATTCTAAGGAAAATAACTAAAAGGTACAAATGCAAGAGAAGATTTAAAATCAATTCTTTAAATTTAGGTTTCCTGCTTGCTGATTTAAGTCATGATTAACAGTGATGATTTAAATCAGTCTACCCAGATATAGGGGGTGTGTGGATATCTGTATTTTTATATTATTGTTTATATATAAGCAAATTGTGTTTGCGTGTGTGCACATATATTTATGCACACGATAGCCTCAAACCCCCGTTATCTAAATTTGTCACTGACATAGGAAAACCCCCTGCATTTATGAGGACAAGACTTGAGAGCCAGGAATGCCTGTGTTTTAATCTCTGATATTGGCTCACTTTGTGGCCTTGGGAAAGTTATTTAACCCTGCCTGTGTAAAATGGAGATTAAAATATTGGCCTGTCTCGCAGCGGGTTGCATTAATTAGCTGTATTTGTACAGCATTTTGAAGATAGAAAACTCCATATTAGTGCCATGTATTATTTATATTAATGATGGAAATGAAGAGCTAGTGTAGTAGATAACCTGAAGAGTGAAGTGAGCTATTATATGATAATACGCATGCTGCTATCCAAGATTGGGCACTTCTGCAGAGTAAAGCTGAAAACTCAGATGCATCTCTTGCAAACTAGGGATGAGTTGTCCTTGGTTGCTTTTTAGCTGTGTGAAGCATCTTCTCTTTAAAGAACTAGAGTGAAATCCTGGCCCCACTGAAGTCAATGAGAGTTCTGGCATTGACTGTAGTGGGGATGGGATTTCTCCCCTGTACTCTGCGGGCTCCAGTTCCCAAGTCCAGATCACTGCTATTACCAGATTAAGGATAAACTGTGAACTCTTTATTTAATTTAATTTGAACAGATTACGTAAAGGAATAAATATTCTCATTTCAACTCCTGGCCGCCTGATTGATCACATCAAGTCCACAAAGTGCATTCACTTCCGTCGTATTCAGTGGCTGATTATGGATGAGGCTGACAGGTAAACTTTTAAGTGTTTAGACATTTGACATGGATAACGAGAACCTCTACAGCTACATTAGATAATGTATTCAACATTTTAAAAATAAGAGATCTAAACCGTAATGCTCCAGGGCATAAACCAACCACTTAGTGCCTGGGGTTTGGATGACGTTTCCCTCTGGGCAGGTTATTCTACAGCTGTCCATTACAGGGATTCTTGCACCTTCTGACACATCTGGTGCTGGCCACTGTTGGAGATAGGGTACGGGACTAGACAGGCCACTTGTCTAATCCACTATGGCCCATCCTATGTTCCTAATTGGCTCATGTAACCTTGAGCCTTCTCTTCCTTCTCTTTTCCTCTCTCTTCCCATAATGTCTTCTGTGGTCTCCATCTTATTTGCAGGATCCTGGACATGGGCTTTGAGAAGGATGTGACCGTGATACTCAATGCTTTAAATGCAGAGAGTGAGAGGCGGCAGAATGTCCTGCTCTCAGCCACGCTCACAGAGGGTAAGTTATAAATTGGGGAGTGGTCCTGCTTTGAGCAGGGGTTGGACTAGATGACCTCCTGAGGTCTCTTCCAACCCTGATATTCTATGATTCTATAGACATAGTTGCTGGAACTAGGGATGCTGGGGGTGCTACTGCACCCCCGGCTTCAAGTGGTTTCCATCATAGACAGGGTTTGGTTCAATGGCTCTCCGCACCCCCACTATATCAATTGTTCCTGCAGCTCTGATTGTAGAGCACGCCTAGACCATGCCTCTCTCTCAGGTCACACATCTCTCATGTATCAAACATTGAAGTCTGTCGGAATGTTTTGCCAATTTCTTGAAAACGTTACACCTACATCAACCTCAAGCTGACCTCTACTGCTCCTGTAGACCAGCATGCCTTGCTCTTGAGGTGCACATGTTTACTACATTAATACTCAGGGAGACAAAGCGGAACAATTTCCTACAGTTTACTTGCAGAGAAGCTTCTGCTTTGTGTGTAATGGATTTTGTTTGGTGCAGGAGTAACGAGGTTGGCCGATATCAGTTTGCATGATCCAGTGAGCATTGCCATTGTGGATGAAACCTGGGACAGAACCACACCAGAGCAGGAAGCCATGTGTTCACCAGCCCGCATGGTAGAGGAAGGCTTTGCCATACCGGAAAAACTCAAACAGCATGTGGTGCTGGTTCCCAGCAAACTGCGGCTTGTCACCCTAGCAGCTTTTATCCTGGGGAAGTGCAAGGTGAGGCTCCGTCTGTGTTGTATTCACACCTGATTGGAATGAAGTGGCTCATGAGCATTTCTGCCTCCTATTTTTCTATAGGGTCATGCAACTGAAAATGAAAGCGAGTAGCAGATGGGATTGTGTTCTGCTGCATAAAATCCAATGGCCGAAGTCATTCCATGGTAGCCTGATTTTGTCTGTGAACCAAATCCTGAGCTCCTTCCTTGGGCTAAACTTCCACTGAATCCAACTCTTGTGTGTGTGTTTTCAAGGGCTCTGGGGTTGAGGGCCAGCTCTACATATATGGTGTACACACACACACGCACACCCTCCACCCCCGTTTGGAAACACGAATACCTAAATTGCATTGTGTTCTGATGAAGGTCAGACTTGGGCTCAGTCTAACTTCCTCTGGTCAGGAGTTGTGGAACTTGGGGCCTTCCACTGAGAAATCCCTTATTTCAGCACCCGAGGAGCCCAGCCTAGGCTCTGTCAGCTGGAGTGTTCCAGTGGCCTACAGCTGTCTCAGATAGGGGCATTGCCTGGTCCTAGGCCATCAAGGGCCATGTGGCTTATATCTAAGACTTTGATCTGTGTTCAGAAGTGAACTAGGAGCCAGTGGAGCGTGCAGGGCACCAGCGTGAGCTGTTCCCCTCTGTCTTCCTAGCTCAGCCGGGAGGCTCCTGTGTGCGGGATGTGAACTTTGGTTTTTAGCAGCCAGTTTAATGTGCCAACATTTTTAATTGGTCTGTCTTCGGATGTATTAGAAATCGAGGTCGTTGGGGGCTCAGAGAATCGTCAGAGGCTTATAAACATGGCCGTGTGTGTGTTCTTGTTCTCCCTGCAGTTTGAAAAACGCCACAAGATGATCGTTTTTTTCTCCAGCTGTGAGCAAGTGGAATTCCACCATGAGCTCCTCCTGAAAATCCTGCTGGGCGGCCAAAAGGCTGAAGAACCTGAACGTTTGCCGCTCCCCTCTTCACACTTAAAGTTCCTGCGACTGCACGGCAGCATGGGACAGGAGGTGAGCACCGCTGAAGAGTGTATTAAAAGTGGAGTGGGCTGAGGACTGTCCCCATTTGCCCCTCCACCCTAATCTCCTCCCCCACAGGAAAAGTTTTCTCACATCCTCCGTTTTGTTCTACAACCACATTCCAGTTACGTGACTGGGGTAAAACTGGTACATCATAATCGTACGAATACCTCGCTTTTGTATCGCCCCTTTGATCGGTGGCTCTCGAAGCACTTTACAAAGGAGGTCAATATCATCATCCCCTCTGGTACATGGTGCTAGGACTGGAAATTGGTCACTCACTGTGCTGTTGAATCTATGCAGCTGTGCTTCTAGGCATGTTATGGGTTCTTTATACCCAAGGGATCACATGGTGTGAACAGAAAACTGGTGAAGGGGTCTACAGATGCTGTCTTGTAGCAGAAACTTCCTCTTCCTTCTCCTCCTCTTCTGATTCCAGCCTTGGTCAGCCCTCTTAAGTGTGGCAACATGGTCCAGCAGTTAGGGCACAGGTATGGAAGTCCGGAGACCTGGCTTCTATACCGGACTCGGCCAATGATCCATTGTGTGACTTTGGGTGAGTTGTTTCACCTTGTGGGGCCTTCGGTTTCCCCATGCATTAATATGCAGAGTGATCCACGCCCGCGAAGCGCTACGGCAAAGCTGTGCTGTTGTTTCAGTGCACTGATGCAGTCACACAATGTTCCCCAGTGGACAAACTTAAACCATTGCCCCTTCGTGAGCCTACATTTTCAGCTTTCTGAGCTAGGCAGGAAAGTTCTCTGACTAGCAAAGGAAATAATCGTATAAAATAACATTTATTATGAATAACATTCAGGACTCGGTCAGCCAGTGTATCAGCTAACAAATTGCTGGCCCCATTATTATGGAGCTGAGCAGAGTGGCTTTGGCTGCAAAGAACAGTCCCGTGGGAGGGAGTTGTCTGGCAGGGGATTGTATTACAGCAACCCAACGAAAGATCACCTAACAAAAGCGACTGGTGTGTTGGTGTTGGATATGCAGGGCCTCGCTGACCAGCTGATTAGAATAAGATTTGATCCAGAAGGAAGTGAGAGGCCAGGAGAAGCATGTCAGTTTCTGCTGTGAATGTTCATTCTCTCTTAGTAGGAGAGTGAAACGTGTGAGCCATTGTCTCTGAAAAGTCAGCAACCCTCTCCCTGCCCCTCTCCCAGGGGGAGAGTCACTGCCCTGCCCTGAGCAGCAAGGCAGAGATGGCAAATGAACAGTGCTCATTTGATGAAGCAAGAGGTGAAGAGCCATTGTTTCTCTCGCTCATTCCCATCCTGCCAAGACCAGGAACATGTGTTTCGCTGTCCTGTATGCTGGCCTTCCTTCAGCCTGCCCGCCTGAGAGCAAGCAGGCCTGGTCTGGTCCGACTCTACCCCGACCAGCTGTTAAGGCAACAGAACGCCACTAAGTAGCTGGCATCAAGGGAAGGGTTTTGCCTTTTTAGTACCCAGTGTGTAATTAGTGCTTGATGTCTTCAAATTAAGAGCATTAATGGAGCTAAATTGTGGATCCCATATGGTACTGCTGAGCACGGCTGCTGTCAGTGTCAACAAGATGCAATGCGTTCTTTTCTTCCGTTTTTGTTGGGAGAAGGTTGGGCATGTCAGGGAGGCCCAGGCCGCTAGTGTCCTTCCTCGGAGCAGAATGATGCGTCCAGCCAGGGCGCAAATGGGTAAAGATTCCATAGATGCCTCTTTCATCTAGCCCCCTGCTAGAAATAGACCTATATTGATAGGGATTGGAGTTGGAGCAAGGCTTGGAGAGTGAGGGCAAGGATACCTTGGGGGGGAAAAACCTGCTGCCAATAGATACCAAAGAGACGTGTGATATTCTTGAGGCTAGAGAGAGCCTGAGCTAGAGAAATGGAAAGGGTGAGATCTAAGACAACTCAGGAAAGTAGATTGGGACATGTTCACTGACTTCCCTCAGCTGAGCAGAGAGGAGAGGTGGTGGAGACCAGGTGGTACAGTAAATTAAAGCATTCGCCTTTTGCCTCTGGAGACCTGGGTTCAAGGATTGCCTCATGTGGGTTTGATGGGGTGATGTAAGTCAAAGTCCCTTTTTATTTCACAAGAAAATACAGTGTGGTTGGATGCAATAAACAGTGTCTGTTCAGGAAAGTCCCAGGGCTGGAATAGCAAAAGGTTCTGCAGGTAGAGCTGGAGGTGAATTGGTGGAGCTGTGTCGGGTCTTGGCAGAGCTGTGCGAGGTGATGTCAGATGAGCCCGTGTTCCAAGCTCTGTTAGGGTGAGAGACGTCTCTGGTGACAATTCAGTGTATATGGCCCAGGCCATGGGGACAAGGCTAAGCTGCTTCCCCACATGCGAGTGTCTTCCTGGGGATGCTGATGGGGGAATGGCAGGGAGGGTCTCGCTTTAGAGTGGGTTTGAGAAAATGTTTCATTCAGCTCAGCAGTTGATGATTCTGATACTTAAGCCCCCCAAGATGTGAGTGCTGCATGGATTGGGGGAGAGGAAAGCAGTGATTTTTTTTTTTCACTGTCACAGTGCTTTAACCCAACTTGATCGCTAGGGGGAACCTCATAGACTCTCCCAGGCAGAGTTATATCTAAGCCAGCAACTAGACCTGCCTCCTTCTAGTCCAGGGGTGGGCAAACTTTTTGGCCCTAGGACCACATCGGGTACAGAAATTGTATGGAGGGCCAGGTAGGGAAGGCTGAGAGCGGCTATGCCACCCCAAACAGCAAGGCATGGCCTGGCCCCCACCCCCATTCCAGCCCCCAGGAACTCCCACCCCCATCCAACCCCCCTTGCTCCCCACCCCCTGACCGCTCCCCTGGGCCCCCCCCCATCCAACCCTCCCTGCTCTCCCCACCCCACATTACCTCTGGGGTTGGGGAAAGGGGGGCTCAGTCCTTTCCCTGTGCATTTCCCCTACTTGTTTGGCTGCTCTTCCTGGCAGTCGGGCAAGGCTTGCTTCCTGTCTGGGCTTGGCTGCTGGGGACAGGGGCCAAGCATGCTGGAGGTGGAAGAGGGCCCTGGTTTGCTCTGCCCCTTTCCCCAGCAGCAGGGCCCAGGCTCCTTGACCACCCCCATGCAAGCCCTCCTGCTCCTTGCCTCCCCCCACCCCCTGAACTCCCCCTGACCATGCCGCCCTGGAGCACCAGATCTGGCCGCCGTAGCCGTGCCACCCGGCCGGAGCTGCAGCCACGCTGCCAAGGTGCTGGGGGAACTGTGACTGTGAGGGAGGGAGGGGAGCAGAATGGGAGGGGCCAGGGGCTAGCCTCCGCCCCGCTCACCACGCTGCTGGGGAGTTGAGCTGGCTCCTTTGCAAGCCTGTCCTGACCCCGCTCCCTGGCAGGAGCTCGGGGGCCAGAGGGAGGGGTCCTGTGGGCCGTACTTTGCCCCCCTCTGTTCTAGTCCAACGTAAACTACCGTTTTCTTCTTTGGTGGGTCCTTTTCCCACAGATACAGGTGATTCTTTTCAGCATACTAACATCACCCTCCCACCTGCGTCTTCACAGGCCCTTGGGATGTTGGCCATCTTGAGCTGAGCATATGCATTTGGGCCAGCACCAGATGCTGCACCTTCCTCGATGGTGTGATCGTCTTTACTGTGTGGAGTGACACCACTATTGCCATAGATTTTTTTCTCACTTCCAAATCTCCTAAGGTGCTGGGATGGAGCCACAGAATTCCACCCACTTCTCGAAACTGGACAGAAATGATGGACGATGAAGAGGGTTCAAACGTAAACTGTTAAATTTTAGTTATTTGCTTTACAACAGAGTATAAACATGTGCTGTGTTTCTTTTATCCTCCAGGAAAGGACAGCAGTGTTCCAGGAGTTCTTACAATGCAAGACAGGCATCTTACTTTGCACTGTAGGTAAAGTAGCATACAACATGCAAAAGACTATATGGGTCTTGATCTGGGAGTGGGAGAGCAGATGACTTGGTGATAGGAGACCTTGACTTAATCCTGACTCTCTAGGGGAAAGGCATTTATCGGCTGTATGCTGTAGTTTCCCTCGCTTGTAGAATAGGAACTTTACCGCTCTTTGTAAATTACTTTATGATCCTTGCATGTAATGCACTATATGTAAAGTGTCTGTATACCTGCATGTCTTGGAAAATGTGTCCATTTGTGGCAACTTGCCCTACATGTGCAGTAAACGAAAAGCTGTCCTGACTTGATGACTATCCCAAGGTTAAAGACACAAACATGCAGGGATTAAAGGGAAGACCAACCAGAGGACTACTTCATTATAACTGTGTTTTGCTTTGTTGCTATCCATGGCTTGCCCTTCAAGCTTCCTTCAAGGGTGGGGAGGGAAATTGCCATGCTCTACTAAAGTTTGCTGGCACCTTTGTGTAGATGTGGCATCTTCCACTTCTAGTTTCTGACCGGTCAGTGCCACAGCTAGCCTGCTGCAATGGTGCAGAAGGCTGCACGATTTGCTCTCTAATAGTGGCAGCTGTTGATCTGAAAACGTGTGAATCTTGGTGATTTCGACACACGGCAAACTTGTAAATTACAGTGATCGGGAATAATTAGAGCTGAGAAACCCTCTCCAGCTCTGAAATTACTCTCTTTGCTGTGACATATTGTTCTTAAAGGGAAAAGGTGGCAGGTTTGTGGGGGTTTGTAGTTTAATGTATTGTATGTAAAAGCCATAGTTTGCACTGGGATTACCAAGCCTGAATAGAGGAGCCTTTGACTCAGAGTGTTGCTTCTCCCAGATTGTGACACCTGCAAAATGTGCCCATCTGATGCTAGTCCTGGCCTGAGGAACCCACTTCCGTTTGCTGCTTGACCTTGATTGTGCCTCGGTTTCCCCGATAATATCAAGATAATATTTATCTACTGCGACATGAGGAGGGCTGTAAATCTTATTAATTCGCTGATGTTTGTAAAATACTTTGAAACTAATACTAAGGCCTGGGCTACACAGGGGGGGGAGCGGGTTCGAACTAAGATACGCAACTTCAGCTACGCTATTCGCGTAGCTGAAGTCGAAGTATCTCGACTTACCTGGCCGTCCTCACGGCAGCGAGTCGACCGCGGCAGCTCCTCCGTTAACTCCGCTTACTCCTCCTGCCGAGGTGGAGTACAGGCGTTGCTTCAGGGATTGATTTATCGCGTCTAGACAAGACGCAATAAATCTATCCCCAATAGATTGATCACTACCCGCTAATGCGGCAGGTAGTGAAGTCATAGCCTAGGTAATGCTAAATACTATATAACTGTTATTTACTAGAATCTGTGCTCGCGCTCTATATTAAAAGCATTTTCAGGGAAGTAGCATATTACTGTGTAATTATAGGCCAATCCCAATTTAGAAAGCAGCATGCAAGGCTGTGTGAAGGTTTGATGGGTAGTAAATGTAGGTTTGCTAACAACATATTGTTCCAGTTTTCTGCAGAAGTGCAGATGGAACATAAACATGTTGTCTTTTCTGTGTGGCATATGTTCAAAGTTATCAAGTCTGTAGTTTTGGTCCCTCCATCTCCCATCAATGCACAAATTCAGATCTGCTTTAAGTAGATGGATGAAGTGCAAGGGGAGTGAGCCGCAAAATCCATCCACAGAAGTTAGGGAGAATTATAATGAGCACGGTGCAGCTGTGCAAATGCACCTCATTCCTGAATTTCAATACATCCCCACCTCTTCTGTGCCGGTCACATGGCACAAAGGGCTGGTTTGAAAATTCCTTTTCACTTGGAACTTGATCCAGGTTTGGAACCCAGAATCCGCAGAAATGAAAGGCTGGTGGCTTAACCCTCTTCCTCCTGCTAATCATTGTGCCATGGTTTTAACTGGATGATTCTCAACATCTAAGAACCGCAGTGCATAGTAGATGCTTTACCAGATCACACGAGGGCACAACAGTTGGTGGTGGGTGAAGCTTTCTACTTCCTTAAACCAGCCTGTTGATTTCTAGCTACATGCCGCGATCATCTTTAGCACAAATCTAGACAAAGGCAGTTGGAGAACTAGCCTGTTTTATAAACCGGAGCTGCTCCTTGGTTTGTGCCCTGCTTTGTTCATTTGTCTCAAGCTATGACTAGGCGGCTGCAGGAGTATGTCTCTGGGCTGGTGATCTTTAGTTAAGTACATTTATACTCAGCATGGACCCTTTATAAACAGCTGGGAAGTTGGTGTTGGTTCCTTGGGCTCACAGAATCCAGCTGCAACGGGGCTGGGTGGGAAGGGAGAGAACGGGAAGATTTGGTTACCTTCTTCCCAGGTAGAAGTAGAGGGAGGAGACTGAGCCTTGGACAAAGAGATAGAGATGAATCAATTTGCTGCAATTTGCTGGGCACCTGCTCCTGGGAGAGACCATTCAACAGGAAGATGGATTGGGAGAGGAGACGCAGTCTACGACAACCTCCTTTACAAGATACTCCGCTCTTGGGAACAGGGTGGGGACAGACGGGAAGATAAATAGGATGAAGGGGAACAGAAAGGAAGATACTCCAGTGGTTAGGGTGCTAGCCTGGGACTCTGGAGACTTGGATTCTGTTCCCTCTTCTACTACAGCCGTCCTCTGTGACCCTGAGGATGTCACAGAGGGCTTGTCTGTATGAACACTTAGTTTGTGGCAAGCCGGGGTATAAATCTACCTTGCACTAGCCTGCTGACTGTCCACGGGGACCCTGCTGCTGCACTCTTAACGGTTCCCTAGTGCTCTTTGACTTACCCCACCGTGAAATGGGAGTTGATTAAAGCACACAAAGGAGCTTTTAGTGTGTAGCTGCAGGATCCACATGGATCCTTAGTATGTGCGGACTAGTGCAGGTCCAAGTCACACCCCAGCTTACCACAAATTAAGTGTTCGCACAGACAAGCCCTTTGTCTCTCTCTGTGCCTCACTGCCCCGTCTGGAAAATGCGAGCCATATAAATACCTTAGGGAAAGAGAGACACTTAGCACTATTCCCGAACTGCAGGTGCCACCTAACACGCACGTCCCCAGGGCAGCCAGGAAATGTGCCTGCCTACTAGTTCATTGCTCTATCTGACAGCCGGTGTCTTCTATACAGTTGTCATTCCCTGACTAGCAGTGAAAATGTTTCACGTGGGGGAGTTCCCAGCCCCTTTACTAGAAAGCCCTCTACGTGCTTTGTACCCATAAGGTGCCAGGTCTTGCTCACTAAACGCAGGCTTCTGTTACTTAACAAAGAGCCGTGGAAAAATAAAAATCCCTCTTCCTTCCTATTTCTCTGTGACTCCGGCGTCTCTCTCACTCATCTTTCCATGGTGGCAGTCCCTGTGATGCTTTGTTTCTTTCATTATTTATATAATATAATATAATTTTTTTTTTTGCCATGCAAAGTAGGCTGGCAAACAAAGAATAAAGAGGCTATGACTCTCCAAGGGTTTCCTGCAGCTGAAGTTCTGCGCAGCTTCCTTCGGGATGTGCCTTTTAAACAAGTTCATCTCTTCCAGGGAGAGAGGAAAGATCATTTGGAGATTGTTTGCTGTTTATTCAGTCACACTAACTCATCTTGCCAGTTTTCTGGCGGCCCCAGCCAAGAGCTTTCGCCTCTGACAGCTTCTGTGCTCTCTCCTTCCTCCTCTGATTACGCAGCCCAATCTGTCACCCTGCCGGTGGGGGTCTCTACCCTGCTGATGGCTTTCCACACTCAGCAGTAATGACTTTTGGCAGGCCGGGTAAGCACGAGAGCGCCTTCCCCAGCTCAGAGAGCTGTTAGGCCCTCTCTCTCTGTTAGCTAAAGCACTTTGTGAGGTTCTTTGGTAAATAAATGAGTCATTTTAATCCAACTGACAGCCTGGCACCTGAGCAAGCTGCCTTCCATCTGTACTTCTAGGCCTCATGTAGGCAACCAATTGTCAAGCCCAGGATCTTCAAGACCTCACCATTGAGTGTCTTTCAAAAGCGACTTTAGTGATTTCTTTCACCGTCATTAGGTTGCACAAGAGCGACCAAGTGGACCGAGGCCCAAACAAAAGTTTCATGTCCATCGGTAATGTTTTGTGGCAATTCACCTTGTTTAGCTTCCTCAGTCACTTCCCTGACCCCACACCCTGCCACAGGCAACTAACACAATCTGGTGACACGAATCGGTGAGAGCAGAAATTCCAACAATTTCAGTGGTCCCCCTGCCTGGATACGTCCTGATGCCATGCCCTTCTGCGGCTTCCAGTCTAGCTGCAGATGGGATCAGATGAAACACGTGTATACGGCTTCTGCGGTTTTTTTCCTCCTTGCTCTATCGCTGTTCCTTTCACATCGTTCCTGTAAAATAGTCTCCATGTTCCTCCCACTCCCGGATGGAAGGCCCATTGCTGTCGAGATCTGTGGAGGCAGTGCACTCAGGCACCAGGTGGGAGGAGGAGCTCCTGGCTTGGGCCAGCAGGGATCCCTACAGCTGATTACGGAGAGGTGTTGATAGGCTGCAAAGGGCATTTTCTCGCTTTTGTCATGTGCCTTGGAAAAACTAAGGGGAGCATTAAATGGAAGATCCTCTGGACTTCCTCATGAATGCAGAATAGTCTTTTCTCACCTGTAATCTCTGGGTCTCTATCGTTTCCACTAAAGATGTGAAGTTAAGAGCCAGATTTTCAGCCCCCGCCTCTGTTTTTGCGGGAGCAGTTCTTGTGCCCACAGATGACTGTGGTCACCTTTTTGCACTCACTGAGTTGCAGGCCTGGCTCTTTGTAGTGAAGTGATAGCTACCTGGCTGTGTTTCAGATCAGCTGGGTAGAGATGGAATTATTGATATTTGCACCAGCAATTTCTTTGAGGCCACGTGCAAATCTGGCCCTAATTGTACTAGCGATGATATCAGCATGTTCATTACTGACATGCATCGTACCGTGCCTGGCGTGCTTCGACACACTGAGTGTGGCAGCATATCTAGTTATAAAGTGGACTGGGGCTAGTCAGAGCTCATTCTCATATCTCTGCTGCGTGTGGTAAATCCCACTTCTATTAACTGGGTCTTTAGAATGGAATCGAATAGCTGGTCAGAACTGAAGGAGTTGGTCAAATCAAATTTAAACCTCACTTTTCTTCACTGATACCAGGATGTCACCTCTGGAGCATTGAGAACCGCTAAATGTGACCATCTAGTCTAGTTGGTGCTTGTAAAAGGGATATTTATCCCCGCGATTCTGTAGCTCTGTCTGGTACCTTCCCAGAGCAGATTCCCAAAGAGTATTTTATGGAGGTTTATGAAGTAAGAATCTCATTGCATATGGGGTGTCCCAGCAGCAGAAGGCGAATAGGCTCAGAGTTTTACCACCGAACTGCCCTGTGCTGCTTTCACGCTACGCAGTTTATAGGAATAGGATCCACAAGAGACGCACGTGGGCTAATGTTGAGGAATCTCTGAAGGACTGCAGAGCTTTCCAATTACCAGTAAATCATATGACCTCATTTTAAAAGGCTGGTATAATCCTCAAGAGAATAAATGTTAGTAATTAGCAAACTAAACTGAATCCTGCTGCTGATACTGAGAAGGCAGCATGGCCTAATGAACTGAGCAGGAGTCTGGGAGCCTGGAACTCCTCCTAAATTCTAATCCCAGCTCCTACCCCTGACTCTCTGTTAGGACAAGAATTAACCTCTTCATTTTTCTGACTGCTTTCCCAAATGTACAATGGGGATAATGCTGTTTACAGCAGTGGTTCTCAACCTGGGGCTTGAGAACACAGGTTCAGAGGAATAGGGTGTATTGACCTCTCTGATCTTCCCGTACTGCTGCAAAATTGATTTCTCCCTATTTATTTGCTTTAATGTTCTTATGTGACTTTTTGCACCTCTGCTCATCTGACTGTAGGAGTGAGCCGTTTCATAATGAGCGCTTCAGAGCGAAAGGATGTGTTGACTTCTAAGGGTATGTCTACACTACAGTTAGACACCCGAGGCTGGCCTGTGCCAGCTGACTTGGGCTAAGGGGCTGTTTAATTGCAGTGTAGACGTTGGGGGACAGGCTGGAATCCAGACTCCATGGCCCTGCAAGGTGGGAGGGTGCCGGAGCTCGGGCTGCAGCCCCAAGCCCAAACAATGACATCATAATTAAACAGCCCCTCAGCGCAAGCCCCATGAGCCCGAGTCTGCTGGCACAGGCCAGCCGCAGGTGTCTACATACCCTAAGTAGTCTCTATGCAAAGTGGCTCCTGTTTGACTTCACTTGGAGCCACAGTGTAACCTGGCTGGCGTTCATGGGAAGGCCTTTGCTGCTGGAACTTCGGCTTCCTAGTCTTTCACGTGCGTGGGAGTTGCTTGAAGACACTTCAGTGGGCGGCTGACACACTTTTAGCACATTAGGCTCCTACTTACATTCTTAATGTGTTCTATTTTGCAATGAGCTGAAAGATACATGTGTTCCAAAACATTTCCCAGCAGAGGCAAATCTGCATACTGCCACTGTACTGAGTGGGGCGATTGCTAAATCCAAGGAATGTGTAAGGATGATACTGATGCTGCAGGAAATCAGGGATGGGGATTTTGAAGCTATTTTGGAGGGCAATATTTAAACCTTAAGACCTGTTCGAAAAGGTTTGTTTGTAATCTTCACTGACTGTGGGTATGTCAAAGGATCTCACTCAAAAGTCCTTCTGTAAGTTGGTAAGCCAGTTCACTAGCCAGTGCTTCGTATAACTCTCCCAGCAGCGGCAGGATTTCAGACTGTTCTCTTCAGGGCTGAGTTTTATTGCTCCAAATCAAAACCCGTTCAGTGTAAATCAAATGGCTAGATCAGCTCCCATCTTCTGGAGGAGCCCACCTGCTCCCTGCAAGTCTTGGTCTCTACTGAAGTGCTTTTGGCCTTTTAAATAAGAAGCAGGTGCTTGGAAAGTAAACTCAGGCAAGTCGGTTTCCACTCTTAGGTTCTCATGCACTAGCACAAGCTGAAACGTCCAGATTGCAAACATTGCATTGGAACACTTAAATTCAAACAGTAACATTGTTTTCAGAGGGCTACATACTGCCACCCTTAGTCATAGTGGATAGTATCTTCCTGTCTGAGCACTTCCGTTTTCTTCAGTGGCACCAATCAAGAAGTAAGGCATCACGAGCATGAGGGGGGCAGAATCTCTCCCATAGAATTTAAAGGGCTAAAGACTCAGCTAGCATAAATCAGCATAACTACAGTGAAGTGGGTATATTTACATCTGCTAGGGTCTGGCCCAGAATAATGAAAATATTTCTGGTTTTGTAAAAACCCTTTTTCGACTTTGTTTTTGTTTAACTCATAAACATTGGTTTTAAACTTTCTGTCTGTCTCTATTTAAACAAAGTATGTAAAACTCCCACAGCCTGAAACTCTGCATTTCCCCAAATATCAATCATTCTGAATGCATTGTATCTGCCTTTATTTTGTAAGCAGTTTTTAAAAATTGTGGTTTTTTTAAATTACTTTTAAAGGATGTCGCAGCACGAGGATTAGACCTGCCTCAGGTCACCTGGATTGTTCAGGTAGGTTTCCGTGTGTGTGCGTGTGTAAATAAATACTATATATTCATGATCAGACAAGTGAAACCTTGTATTGATACTCTTATACCTGGATACAATCCCTGAAAGCCGGGGGTCCATGCTAGGTCAAGTCCTACAGTCTCTGCGTAAGTGCCGTGGTCCACAGGTGCAGTAGATCCCACAGGATCGGGGCCCAAGCTTCCTTCTGGGTCACAGGATTCCCAGGTACCGTCTTTTTCCACAGCAGGATTTGCCCTTCTTTTGAGTGGGAGCTGGATCGAACCCTGAATAAATGGCAGGTTGTAAGTTCAAGGACTGAGGGCGAGAGAGGAGTGTGTGTAAAATATTGTTTATAACTTTAAAATAATTGTAAATTTTAAAAGTTGACTTTAAAAAATACAAGGAGAAATATGGAACCCAAGATGTTCACCTACTAAGGGTCCATCTCCATTGCAGCTCTGGGGTGTAATTCAGGCACGCTCTAGCTTTGATTGAGCCAGCATGTTAAAAATAGCAGTGTGGCTGTGATGGCAGCTGGCCCAAGGTGCTGCCACCTCCCAGCAGATGTGTAGATGGTTGGGTACTAGCATGCTATGTTCACCAACAAAAAAGCCTTTTAATTTCTAGCACGCCCCTCGATGTAATTAGTCTGATTTTAATTTTAGCTAAAAAAAAAAAGAGATTTTGTAGCAAATAGCTGGTCAGAGGAGGATGGGGGCAAAGTGTTTAGTTTGCAGGCCAAATTTATTTATCCAAAGATATAGTTGCCAGTGCTTGAACACAGTGCAAATTATCTAAGGCCCTGGGAGACTTGTGCTTGTCCAGAAGGCGAAAGCTCGGTTGTCTTGAGAGCAGTGTCCATGAGCACTGACCTGCAGAGAGCAATTAGATTGCTCACAGCGTCTTACTCAGACCTCTAGCCAGTAGAATTTTTGCCAAAGGGCAAAGACTAAAATGGGCTTTGGTCGTTGGGTTTTTTCCAAGTAAACTGCAGAGGGCTTACTTCTAAGCAGTATCTCTGTGCGTGTTGGTTTTCCAGGACGATTTGGGGGAGGACGTGTCCCAATTTATAGGACCTGATGCTGCAAATTGCTGAACACCTTTAATGCCTACTGAAGTAAATGGGTGTCACTGGTTTATTACTGGGGGCTTAATCAAAATGTTAATAGTGTCTGATGAGTAGAGATGGAAAGACAATTGGTCTGTATCCATCACCTACCTCCTACATAAAGAGCTGTACACCTGTACTTTGCCTGTGGTTGTTTTCTGCCGAGTAACTGGCACTGATTCACTTTAAATAAACCAGAGCAATTTAGCCTGACTTTGAATTTGAATCCTTCTCCTTTCTCCTGGCAGCTTTCCTCCCAAATGTACTGCAGGCAGCTTATTGCTCTGTGTGGGCAATCTTGTTTTTTTAAAAAAAAGGCAAACAGATTACTGACAAGCCTGTGTAGAAATAAAATTTAAAAGGCGAAGAGAGACATTGAGATGGGGAAACTGTCCTATTATCTGAAACTTGGCCAATGTGTCACATTCTCATGTCAAAACCCTGCTATGGCTGATGAGGCTGAGCTGAGTGATGGTTCCAGGGATCAGTCCGATGGGTTCTTTATAAACAGCCCCTTTCTAAGGAAGGCAAGGCACCCGGATCCTCTCTACGTTAATAGACGAGGTGCCTTGTTTATAATTAACACCACCGTGTTCTGTTAATTCCTCCTTTTCCCTCTCATGTTTCCTTCTGAAGTATAACGCTCCGGCTTCGCCTGCGGAATACGTCCACCGAATTGGGAGGACGGCTCGGATTGGCTGTCACGGGAACAGCTTGCTCGTCCTGACTCCTTCGGAGGCAGAATATGTCAACTCGCTGGCTTCTCACAAGATTAAGTGAGTCAGAAACCTGAACAAAAGTTTCAGCTCATCTCAGCTAATTAACCTTCCATGGCACTTGCAGAGGGACTGTGTCTTGTACAGGTTTTAATAAGAGTTATTAATTCTTGTGCTTCAGGACTAGCCACAGAATGGCAAAAAGAGGGAACTAAAACCTATAAAATCCTCAGTATGACAAATTTACTGTGTGGGGGGTGGCAAGGAAGGGAGCTATTGTGCACAGTTGTTACCTTTAAAGCCCTGTGTTCAGACTTTGCCTACTGGAGGTCACAAGTCAAGTGAGCACCTCTAATGGCTACTGGACACTTGTCCACGTTGTCAGAGTTCATACTGTCTCTTCACCAGAGATCCAGGACTGGCATAACTGGGGAGTTGCAGGTCACAGTTGAGAGAGTTGGCCAAGCCGTGCCATATGTTTGGGCTCAGGACTGCAATAGTAGAGACTCTTGCACGTCCTACTTAAGAGAGGCTGGTAGAACTGTACAGGGCACTGGGATGGCATGAGTGTTGCAGGCTGAAAGTGAGGTGTATTGGCAAAGCCTGGGGAGGAGGCTTCAGTAGCGCTTGCCGGCTCTGGCTAGTCAAAGAATGTGGGAGTATGGCTGAGGAAGGCCAGACAGGCTAGTAAGGATGCCCAGAGCCTACATATGGATGGCTGTTCGGCAGTCTGCATGAAATGAGGTCTTAGTTCTCAATGGACAAGCATCCACATCACAAAACCCACCACCCTGTTAGTCCCTCTCTCAGCTCCCTCCTGAATAAAACCGAGGATGAACGTGTCATGAAGACCAAATTGCCTTCTGACCCTTAGAGGTGACCCAACATGAGGTACATTGAGAGGTGGGGGAAGTTTGCACTGCCTCTACCTGCTTTGTGTATAAATAGGAGTTCTGTGTCTGGGAGCCATCAGTCTTGAAGTTGTTGTGAACACTAAAGTCTTCCTCACAATTTAGGAGGGAAAGAGCCTACCTCTAACTAGGGCTGTGCATCCTAGAGTGAATCCTCCCCATCCTTGCTAATCACTGCTGTTTTGGAGCGCTCGTTACTCTGCCACCATGTCCCAAATCTCTTCACCAGCCATTTGGACGTTCACACCTTCCTGTACTCCTCGTATCAATGTCTCTTGTTGTTCAGAACAACAGCCAAGTCACATCACTGTGATATACAATGAACTGGCTTTTATTTTGCGTGTGTATGTATGGGGTAGAACAGCCCAGATTCTAGTTTGGTTTTGGATTCTTGAAATAAACTAACATTGGCAACAAATACCAGATTCTTCTAGGCAGTGAGCCATTTAGTGGTCTAACAAAGAGCCATCCATCATCCCAGGAAACAATCTATTAAGCAGACACCAGCAAGACCTGGAGCGCTAAGCTGACATGTTTTGGGGTTTTTTTTCCTTCTCTTCCATGTAACAAATAGCACTGACATTTTAAAGGTGAAATCCCACATTATTGTGAGTTTTTAACTCCAGGTAGAAAGTTGTATTTTTATTTGTGTGAGAGAAAGAGGTGAAATTGCATGTTTTTATTTTACTTTAATTTTAATTAACAAAGTTTCAGCCTTTTGGGTATTTTTGAGACGTTTAAGGAGCAGTGTCTCCTGAGCTTGCTAGCAGTTATGGCAGCTAAGGAGACCTCTTGTTGAGCTGGATACTGATCATTGGGTGTCCTTAGATGTTATGTTCCACAGCTTGACCGGAGGAGGTGTATGTGAATGTATTTTAGCCCTTCTGAAATCAGTACAGCCAAATTACACTGAGTATATTGTCTTATTTTTCAATTTAATCTTCGTAATAAAACTTGCTTGCAATAGGATTGCGGGCCTCTAGAAGAGTGGAGTGTAATTCATCCACAGTTACCTGATCAGAGAAATGTGTGGCTAATTGGGACAGGCTGGTGGTTTGGCTTGTATGTAGTGGCATATCTTGTTCTCTTCCAAATCATCGTGCCAGTGTATGTGAGGGGGCAACAGGCTAGAGAGGAGTGCTAAAGAATTACCGAAAAGATTTGGAAAGGCAACTTGAAGCTCAGGGCAGCAAGTGCCATCCATACAAATTGCCACCACACTTCATAACCTGAGCGTTACGGTGATAATCCTGACCATTTGAACTAGGGTAGAGGGCAAAAGCCAGCAGGCGCTGGACTGCCATGAGAACTTTTGTTCCTGGATCTTCTTTGTATCTTTCTATGAAGCCTGCATAAGTTGTTTGGGTTTGTGGTTTGTTTCTTTGCTTAACTGAAAATATGCTTTTAATTAAAGTCCTGATGGGTTTATCGGTTTATGTAAAATAGTAGGTAAAATGTGTTTCTAGGAAGACAAAGCACAAGACAGGTCGCTGGAATTTTGGTGTAAATTAACAGCTATGCTGATTTATGCCAGCTGAGGATCTGGCCAGGAGGATTTTTTCCTCCCCCAGTGGGCATTGGGTTTAGGTTCAGAACTGTTCACAGTCGTAAATAATCAGAGCAGATGCAGCATGTTCCTGAATGAAAATCTCTTTCAGAATTAGGAATGATTACCTTTACTTAATTTTCACCTGTACCTGAAGTCGTTATTTGGCTTCTAAAATCTCAGAGGAGGGTTAGCCTTTGCCAAAAGCGTTCCATTTTGGCTTTGCTGAGAACAGTTATACCCAGTGGGTTCAGGAATGCTGTATGGTTTCCTTTGCAACTTTGTTTTCTTGCTTTGCGTAATTTAATGTTACGTTTTCCCTCCCTAGCCAGAAATTCTCTCTCTCTCTTCCCCCCTCCCTCCCTGTCATTTCTTATGTATTTCCCTCTTTTTTTAAGGTTATATTCCAAAATGGTCTGCCTCAGCCCTGTGTGTAACTAAAAGATTTTCCTTCAAAGGAAGGAAGCAAGACGCAGAAGAAAGTCAGCAAGATATGGATATATATATTTTTTGCTTATGTCTCTTTTAGTTCCTTCAAGTGTAATCTAGCCGCGCCTGCTTCGACAGCCATCAGATAATTTCTTTATCTCCTAACGGCTGCCTAACTAATTTATGAAGGAAAGCGCATCCACTTGAAGGCACGAGTCGTTCCCCCCATTTCCCCTTTGCATGATGCTCCCCGCTGTGAACTGAGTTTGCATATCTATAAGGCTGTGAGCTGGCACCATGCCAGGAGAGGAGCGGGGGTGACATATCTCAGGCAAATCAGTGTCAAAGGCTTGACATGTTCATTCACAGCTTTGTCAAAGCAACCTTTGGAGGTATGGGGAGAAATGCATTTCTCTTGCTTAAGTGGTTGCCATTTATGTTTTAATTTACCGTTATACTTTTCAAAAACAAACAGAAAAACCCTCAGTTGTCTTTTTATGCTCCATTTCCCTTCCTTCCATTCCCCTGCCTCCCCTTTCCTTTCTCTACCTCTACATTCTCTGTGAAGGAATCTTCTCTGTGCAGGATTTCCTAGCTGCATAAGGGATGATGCTTGCATTCCACATAGGTTGGGATCTTGGCCAATGCAGAACCATAACTCACAACCCTTTGGACCGAATCATAACTTCTCTGGACTGGCTCCGCTCCTTCATGGCATGTCATGAACTTGATGTTTCAAGAAGTTGTGTTCACCTCAGTTTCTTTAACTGCGTATGACTGAAATAGCAGGGATGGTGTGGTACTGCAGGTCACAATCAAGGTTCATTAGCAGAACTGTAGGGGGAAGCTTTCCCATGTGCCATGCTTGCATTTAGCAGGGTGATTTAGCGAATAAATTGTGGAGCTGTCAGTATTTACTCTTGGGTTCTGTTCCTGGTTCTGCCATTGACTCCCTGTGTAACCTGGGAAAAGTTATTTAACCTGTCTCTGCCTCTTTTTCCATAGCTGCAAAATAGGTCACCTCTGTTATCCCTGTCTTGCAGGGTATTGAGTATCGAGATCAATTCCTATTTGTAAAGTGCTTTGAGATCCTCAGATGCAGGCACTGAAGTGCAGAGCATTATTATTAATCTCTGAATTCACCAAATTTAAGAAAACAAAAATAATACCTTTCAGAATCCTTACATTCCTATGATAACGTTGATCGAGAAAGATTCCTAAACAGTGGTCCAAACTCTGCTGTCCTGTAAACAGGTATAAATCCATAGTAACTCCGTTGACTTTGGTGGAGCTACTTTGGCTTTACATCAGTGTAACAAAGAGAAGAATTTGGTCTTTTGTATAGAGGGATCTATCTACCCACCTCTGAATGTAGCCTCTTGGGAACCCAGGCCCCATCCTTCAAACATTCATGCATGTGCTTTACTTTATGTATTACAACTGGGAGTGGAGAGCAACACATCCAGTTAAAATGACAGGAGAAATTGAAATAGACAGCATGAAAATAAACACCCCTTGCGACACTTGGCTATGACACCAGATTGTCTCCTTTATTTCAAAAGGCTCCATGGGATTTTTAATGATCACAAACAGGCAGGGCATTGGTTTTACACATAACCTGAAAGAGATGTTGAAGTTTCACTTTTTTGACTGTGATCCCAGAAAGGAAAGAAAATAAAGTCTTAGGGCTGGCATTGAAAATGGCTGCTGAGGCTATGTCAGACTTGGTGAGTGAGCTTATCCAACAGGGAGACTGGGTCTGATCAGCCCTAACCCAAGTAACATTGCATTCAATCGTAATGATTGCAAGATCTTGTGGGAAAGGGAAATAACTTGGCTGGGAAATGGATGCTGCAAGCTAGTAAAACAAAGTCCTTTACAGTATTTTGTTTTGCAGGATGGTGGGGGATGGAAAAATCCTGGTGATCCCACTCTTTTCCCCTAGCCTCTAGACCCTTTGTTGCTGTCACCATCCTTCTGGGTGAGAATATACTGATTTTAGGAACTCCTTAATCACATGACGAGCATCATTGCTGAGTGACAGTGAGGCTGCTTGGTCCCTACTCCAGAGCTGTATAGGCTGCCTTTTACAGAATCATTGAAATGTAGGACTGGAAGGAACCTCGAGAGGTCATTTAGTCCAGTCCCCTGCACTCATGGCAGGACTAAGTATTAACTAGACCATCCCTGGCAGATGTTTGTCTAACCTGCTCTTAAAAATCTCCAACGATGGAGATTCCACAACCTCCCTAGGTAATTTATTCCAGTGCTTAACCACCCTGACAGTTAGGAACCTTTTCCTAATGTTCAACCTAAACTGCCCTTGCTGCAAGTTAAGCCCATTGATTCTTGTCCTATCCTCAGAGGCTAGGGAGAACAGTTTTTCTTCCTCCTTCTTGTAACAACCTTTTATGTACTTGAAAACTGTTATCATGACCCTCTTTGTCTTCTCTTCTCTGAACTAAACACACCTAGTTTTTTCAATCTTCCCTTATAGGTCATGTTTTCTAGACCTTTAATCTTTTTTGTTGCTCTTCTCTGGACTTTCTCCAGCTTGTCCACATCTTTCCTGAAATGTTGCACTCAGAACTGGACACAATGCTCCAGTTGAGGCCTAATCAGCGTGGAGTAGAGCAGAAGAATTATTTCTTGTGTCTTGCTTACAACACTCCTGCTAATAGATCCCAGAATGATGTTTGGGTTTTTTTACGACATTGTTGACTCATATTTAGCTTGTGATCCACTATGACCTCCAGATCCCTTTCTGCAGTACTCCTTCCAAGGCACTCATTTCCCATTTTGTATGTGTGCAACTGATTGTTCCTTCCTAAATGGAGTACTTTGCATTTGTCCTTATTGAATTTCATCCTATTTACTTCAGACCATTTCTCCAGTTTGTCCAGATCATTTTGAATTTTAATTCTGTCCTCCAAAGCACTTGCAACCCCTCCCACCTTGGTATCGTCTGCAGACTTTATAAGTGTACTCTCTATGCCATTATCTAAATCATTGATGAAGATATTGAACAGAACCGGACCCAGAACTGATCCCTGCAAAACCCCATTCAATATGTCCTTCCAGCTTGACTGTGAACCACTGATGATTACTCTCTGGGAACAGTTTTCCAACCAGTTATGCACCCACCTAATAGTAGCTCCATGTAGATTGTATCTAGGTTGACTTGCCTGCCTGGAAGTACGCTTTGTGTGTTCCAGTGGAGACTTGGATGCACTCCATGCCTTGTTGAGCTGGGGAATGATATGATGGGTCTGTACGTTGACCTGGAATCTTCCACATGGCAGCATTAAGCAAAAGAACTTGGCTAAAAAAATCTGTTTGTTACATTTAGAATGCTGTGATTTAAAAATAAGAGCCCCTCTATGCTTTCACATGGGCACAGAGTTTGCTAAGGTAGAAAAACGTGGAGGAGCAACTGCATAATATGCCAGAAAAAAATTTTTGGCCCTCAAATTTTCCCAGAATTTTGGTTTAATTCTTAATACAGTACTGTTCATACAGCCAAATATTGGTCCTACTGAAGCCAATGGAAAAACTTCCATTGGCTTCAATTAGCACAAGATATGACCTAGGAATGCTTATACCTGCATTTCAAGCATTTGTTTTTCAACACAATATTTGGGCGAGGGGGTTGTTAACATGCTCTGCCCATGAAGGCTAAGAATGCTCCGTCTCACGTTCTGTCGTCTTCTGAGGAGTCCACCACTAAAACAAGGAAAGATGAGACCTAATAAAAAATAAGCAAAAAGAAACACTTTCTTTTCTGGGAGCAGGGGAAAAACCTTTCTTGTGTCTCAAAATGTAATTGTAAATCGGGAGTATCCATCCAGCAGATGTGTCTCCAATGGGGTCCTGCGGGGGTTGGTTCTTGGCCCTATGCTATTTAACATTTTTATCAATGACTTGGAAGAAAGCATAAAATCATCACTGATAAAGCTTGCAGATGACACAAAAATTGGCAGTGGTGAATAATGAAGAGGACAGGCCACTGATACAGAGCAGTATGGATCACTAAATAAACCGGGTGCCAGCAGAGAATATGCATTTTAATATGGCTAAATGTAAATTTATACATCTAGGAACAAAGAATATCAGCCATACTTATGGGATGGGGGGCTGTGTCCTGGGAAGCAGTGATTCTGAAAAGGATTTGGGGGTTATGGGGGAACTGAGGAGGAGAAGAGAGGCTATTTTACCTCTATATTGGGCATAAATGCAACTGCTGCTGGAATACTGCGACCAGTTCTGGTGTCCACAATTCAAGAAGGATGTTGATAAATTGGAGAGGGTTCAGAGAAGAGCTGTGAGAATGATTAAAGAATTAGACATCAGAAAACATGCCTTATAGCAATAGACTCAAAGAGAAGGTTAAGGGGTTACTTGATTACAGTCTATAAGTATCTACCTGGGGAACAAATATTTAATTATGGGCTCTTCAATCTAGCAAAAAAGATGTAACACAATCCAATGGCTGAAAGTTGAAGCTAGACAATATCAGACTGGAAACAAGACGGTACGAGTGAGAGTAATTAACCATTAGAACAATTTACCAAGTGTATTGGTGAATTCTCCAGCACTGACAGTTTTAAAATGAAGATGGGATGTTTTTCTAAAAGATATTCTTTCGGAATTATTTTGGGGAAGGTCTGTGGCCTATGTTATATAGGGGTCAGACTAGATGGTCAGAATGGTCCCTTCTGGCCTTGAATCTATGAATTTCTCTCTCTCATATATATGCACACACAAGTGCACAAACTCAATTCCTTTCTTTTGCAGGTCACCTTAATGTTTATTAAATCCTTTGAGTTCGTCCAGGTGTGTTAGAGGTTCATAGTCTTATCAATTATTACTGTAAAACTGACCAGCTCAAAATTACTGAGGATAGGAACCATATGAAAACTTTATCTGGTACTTTTTCCATAATACACTAATATTTCCCAGTTACCCTGCTTCTTTTCTCTAGAGCTAAATTAATAATTTTCAGTTAAACCTTAAAATTGGAAGTGCTAATTATTGAAGACTTTATGGTAGGTGAGAGCCAAGAATCTTCCAATGGACTATAGTGTTCTTCACTTCCCACCCATGGCTACCGTTATGTTAGTTTCCGCATCATTAAAGTGTGTGATAATTTTTCCCTTCACTTTAATGGGAGCAAGATTATGGGTGAAATCGTGGCCCTATTGAAATCAATATAAAAAACTCTCATTGACTTCAGTAGGACAAAGATTTCACTCCAGGTCTTCAGACATCTCCCAGGTTCCGTGTCCGTTATGGCAGTGTTGTAAATTGTGTCTGAAGTGAGACTTTTTGGGAGTGAAAAGCACTATAAAAACGTATCGGGCATCATCTCAGGCTGAAATTTTAGGCGTTGGTCCCTTCTGCCCCGCTTTACCATTCTGTGGCATTTTTGGGATCACTGGTTATGTCTGATCCCCTTGGTGAGGAATCGAGTCCACTTTTGAAGGCTATGTCTCCACAGCCATGCCCCTAAAAGTTACGCAGTGTAGCGGCTGTTTGTTGGCTCCCCTGCCGACAAAAAACTTCTACCCCCAACGAGCGGCGCTGTTCACACTGGCACTTGTCGCGGCAAAACTTTTGTCTTTTGGGGGGCGGGAGGGTTTACACATATGAAAGACACAAGTTCTGTCGTTCAGTTGCCGGTGTAGACACAGCCATATAGAAAGCTGTGCGTTGTCTTTGGGAAAAGAGGAGACATTACAATTTTTTTTTTCTTTTCTGCTGCGTCAGTGTCTCCGAGATGAAGATGGAGGATATTCTGTCCAGCCTGATGAAAGACGATCGTTTCAAGGGGCGCCAGTGGGGAAACAAGGTGAGCAAATGTTCCGATTTGGAATTGCTTAAATTTTCGTTTCCTAACCAAGCATGACAAATAGGCTTTTCCTTGGCTCTGTTTCTTCAAGCCAAGGGATTAGCAAACCCATGATCTGGGCAGTGCAAAATGACAGTTGAACCTCTCTATTCCACACTTCCCTAATCTATGTTCCTTGAAAGTTTTGCCCCAAAATGTACCTCTACAATGCTCAGCAAAGATTTCACAGTAGGTCATGCCGTAGTGAGGGCTTTTATGGCAAAGAAACTGCATTGCTCTTTTTACAAACCTACTGCAGACCATTAGCTAGCAGATTCTGACCTATTTTAAGTGATTACAAACTACACAATAGTCCTCCAAGTAAATAAACATTTTTTGTGATGCATTCTCCAGGCTTTTTTAATCCTCACCTTGTTCGCCCAGGGCCTGATCCAAAGCCCATTGCTGCAGATGGGAGTCTTTCCACTGACATTGGTGGGCTTTGGATCAGCCCCTTCCTTGCTCATTCCCAGAATGTAGACACTTGCAATGGATCTTTCAGTCATTAGAGCAAATTGGAGAGTATTGCTGTTTAAGAGCCCAGGTCTTAGATAGAATGTGAGTGAAAGTCAAGCATTATCCAGGTTTATTTTTCCACTCGCTCATTATTTTGCCAATTCACTCGTTCCATTACATCACCCAGCAGTCTTCAACTTGTCCACTGTCTTCCAGTTTCCTACTGACGGCTCTGTTGGGAACTGTGTGTGTTCCCATGGCTTTGAAAAATAGTCATCCTTCTGTTATGCCGTACATCTTCTACAATGAAGATCTGTAGATCATCTGACATTTCTATTCAAAACCATGTATGTCTGGCCCTTTGCTAAAGTCAATATATAGTATATACTTTTTTTTATTTTCTGTTGTATGTTGCCTGGAACAAATCCTTTTTGTTCAGGAGTGTGGTCTGTAAAGTAGTCTAACAAATACATAGTTTAATAAGCGTGTGTGTTAGTATAAAGGCTTCATTGGTGTGAGTTTGGGATTGCTGCATTCTTTAAAAATGACCTAACGTACCTTTTCTGTGCATAAAAATGTCACCACTTTGAAGTCCAGTATCCTTGGAAGCAGGGGCATGCACAAGGGGGGACAAGCAGGGGCACACCTCCTCCAAAAGTGATCATATTTTATTCTTGTGCATGCTCCTGTCTAGAAGTAAGCTTTGTGTGTACCGTTGGAGACTTGGAATCCCCTTTCAACGATTATAAAACTCCCAATTTCTAGCCCTGCTGGCTCTAAAGATATCCCACTTTAAATCTGGCACTGGCCCAGGGCAGAATATAACCCATCTTGGGCCAGTGTAATTGTGTTGTCTGGGAAGAGAAAATCTTTCTCTGGAAGGTTTTGGTTTGGTCTTTCAATTGCAGCTGTTTTTGAAGCTTGTGAAAATCAGGGCCATGGTGCATTGAATTGAGAACCCAACAACTGAGGACTCTCAAATCAATGGCCACTTTTGAAAACATTGGCATTAACAAACTCTTCGTGCCTCATTTTCTCCATCTGTAGAATAAGGCTAACCGCTAACCACACCAAAATAAACTGATATTTGGAAACTGGTTAGTATTCCCATTCATTACTTGTGGTAGTGTCTAGAGAACCCCATTATGCTAGGTGAGGTACGTATAACAAAAAGATAATCCCTGCCCCAGGGATCTTGCCAATCTAAAGTTGAAATCCTGGCCCTTTTTAAGACAATGGGATGTTTGCCATTTAATTCAGTGGAGCTGGGATTCACCCTAACTGTGGGAAGTTGGTGGTGCTGCCTGACACAGGTTTAAAAGACTTTGACCAAGAGAGGAAATATCTTGTTACGGGAATGTCCTGAAAAATTTAATAGGGATGAAACCAATGTAGTTCTATGGACATTAAATAGGATTCTATAGACATTACTCTTTAAAAGCCTATAAAATGTAATAGAGGATGCAATCCTTTCTATGGCAGCCTGTAGCATTCTGTATCAGGGATCTAATTCTCAGATTCTATAGGGTGATTTCTAAAAGGTCTATGGAAAAGTTATCATCCCCTACTAAATGCTATAGAACTTCTCCATAGGGCCAGTATAGCGAACGAGGAACAGAATAGACTGTGTGTGGAACAGACAGCGACTGCAAGTTTTAATTTCCGCTTGTTATGAAGGATGTAACCTAACCCAGTCATGACTTTGCTACTTGCAAGTTACAGAGTTCTCTTTACCTTATCAGCTCTCCACGCATGGAGTCATGTATACGTGAGACTTGTGCACACAGAGACCTCATTATAATGCTCTTCGGCTCTCACCACCTTGACTGAAGTCCATTATAAATACCCCTTTGGAACACACATTTTTGGGCTCCTGTGAGCAACTGGGGAGTGAGCTGAAGTGCCTGTAAAATGTATATTTTATATTTAGACACATAAAATATATATGTGGCTACATCTGTTCACACACCTACAAAGAGAATAAATCTGATCTTTCAACTTTTATCGGGGGAGGGGTAGAAAAAAAATACCGTGGTGGGTTCTAGGGACTGTGCAGGAGGGTCAGAATCAGCCAGGCAATAAAAAGTTATTAAAACAACATCCTTCATTTTGTTTTCCAGTATCACAGAAGCAGGACATGTTATGGCCTCGCCCCTTCTTTTTTTAACCATAAGAACATCCCTCCTGTTCTCGTTTCTATGAACCCTCTTCCTTAATGAACTTGGAGATTTCCAATATCCTTCCCCTCCTTCCAAAAAAAATTCCAGTCTTAATAGGCATACGTTTCTCTCTTATGAAATAGAGAATCTATCTTTTTTTTTAGCCTGCTTGCTTTTTCTTTTCTGTGATGTCACGAAATGCTCAAATAAAATGAGTTGCTCCTTGTGTATATTATTATTTATTAATTATGATTATTATGGCAGTGCCTATGGACCAGCCAAGTATGTGGTGCCATTGCGCAAGGCACTGCACAAACGCAGAGTAGTAGAAGCTTTCGTAAATGAGGCGGAGTATGTAACATAGTGTGCACACACGTACACACACACGTTCGTACACACACTTACACACACACACACACAGAGTTTAGCATGCGTTCGTTACAAAGGTTAGTTCCGCTAACTGAGGCAGTAAATATATCTGGAAGGAGAAACAGCCAAGCAAACCAATACTGCGATGCATTATCTTTTGGGCCTTGGCATATGGTAGAAGGGCCTCAGATGTATTGTCTCTCTGACTTGAACAGGGATGCTCTCAGGAATGAGATTTACTCGGGTGTGTAAAGGATGCAGACTTTCTTGTAGCTGCCAATCCACTCGTTTTATCTGTCCACAGCCTCAGACAGTGGTGTATGGTGGGGTTTTTTTTTTTTTTTTTTACACTGCTCGACTGAGTCAGTTTTAAATTTAGATTTTTTTTTTTTAAAGACCAACCTCCCTGGAAGGCAGGAATCAAAACCCAGATTTCTTCATGCCCATTAAGGGACAACTTTAAAATGAAATCTTTCTGGCGGGGTTGAGGGGGATAGAAGAGAAGGAAGGAGAGGAAGGAGGAAGCTGTTTTCTAAGTACATTATGTTTTCTTCCATTTGCTTTTTTTTTTATTATTTTTCTTGGGCTGACCTCACACTTTGGAAATTATGCACCTAGATTTTATCCCTCGTTTTAGTCTTACTCCCACCCTCTCCCGCACCAGCAAGAAGAGATGCCTCATTTTGAAGCCTAAAGGGGGAAATAAGAAAAGTCCTTTGTAATATATTGCCATATTATCACTAAATCCCCTGACAGTTGTGACACAGAAGCAAGTCACCTGTCACTTAAGCTTGAGGTCTCTTTAATTTTCTCCTGGAATTCGCACCAGGCTGTCTTTAATTTGAGGCCTTTATTGGAATTCTGAAACCTTTCTGCCTCCCCAGCGCTCAGATCTATTCTGAGTGCTGTTACAGAATGTATACAATAACCAACAGAGGGATTCGGAGAGGGCTGAAGCGCTGTTTATTTAACACTCTGGAGGGATTTTCGTGCTTATTCGGTCCTGGCTACCCGGCTTTCAATATCGCTTTGACAACTGTTATGCCCTTCTCATTAATTTTAAACAGTTAAAACACAGGAAAAAGAGAAAAAGTTTTCATTATTAAAGTGCTTTACTTTTTAATAACAGAGGATTCTGTCCGCCAGGGGAAAGGGCAACCTCGCTAATTTCACATTCATATTAAAAAACGCAGGGAAGGTGACACTCTATGCTGCCTGAGAGGCTTAACAAAAGAAAAAGTGGGGAGGGGAGAGAAAAAAAAGTTTTATGTTTCACGTCAGTAGAAACTTGATAATGACAACGACAAATGTCCGCTTTTGTGAGGTGGCTCCACTTCTGGCATATTATATCCTTGCATGGACCCTCGACTGCGAAATAGCTCATCAGATTAGTTATTGTTAATAATTCAGTTCTCCACAGGTGTAAGCAGACATGACTGCATTTAAGTCAGCCTTGCACCCTGTGTCACCAGGAGTGAATTTGGTCTGCTGTGCTTTGTAGCTTGGAGATTATATAGAGACCTTTTTTTCCCCAAAAATCCAGTAAAATGACTAGATCCCCTTGTCTGCCGTGCACAGATGCAATACATGGGACAATGGTTGATGCATGGGAAGGTGCAGAGACGTCATTGCATAAAGGGGCTCTCTGGAAGGAAGTGAAGAGGGCACTTAGGGTGCAGGAAGGAAGAGATTGTTCACAGTGTAGGAAGACAGTAGGCCAAGAGTGGAAGAAAGAAGTGGAGAGAGCAGCTTGGATGGAGGGTCCTGGGAAGTGTAGGGAGAGGAAGATCAGTGAAGACGAGAATAAGGAGCAGGAAGTTGATAGGGAATGAGAGAGAACGAATGTGGGGGGGTTTAATTCATTGTCCTAGGGCAGGACTGGTTATATGGATGGATGGATGGATGGATGGATTGATTTACTCCCTGTTTTACTTAGCATAACATCATTCTAAAACGCAAGAGAAAACTGGGCCCAGTGGTGTCAGTCTGGAGTAACTCCACTGATCTGGATGGAGTTATTCCAGACTGACTCTGCTGTAACCAAGATTGGAAGCTAAATTGGTGAATCCAAAGTGGCTGCTAGCAGGAGGGGGGGAAAACATACGTAATAGGTGTTAGAAAACACAAAATTAAACCTGATTTGCTCCCGTCACGAAGCAGTGCTCACTGGTTGCTTTGACTTTAACATCTTTATCTATACATATTTTTTTCCCTAGTAATATTGAGAGGATTACCCTCGTTGGCCCCGGGGTGGTTACTGTGTGATTTTACTGTTATTAAATCTATTCTAAACTGCTTCATTATTCCTGACTCAAACTCTGTCTTTCCTCTAATCCTCCCACCGCCCTCCTAGAAATCTCGTGGCGTGAACCCCCAGGAAGTGCGGGAACGGGCGACGGTCTTGCAGACCGAATTTGAAAATTATGTGCACTCCAGTGAGGGAACTGTCCGGTGGGCAAAGAAAGGTCAGTAGGTTTCTTTAAACTTATTACCGAATGGCTGATACAAACTGAAAGGATTCCCCTCTGATGGGGAAGTCTTTGGGGGAAAGGCCTAGCAGAAGCATTCGGGGCCAGTGTCTCTAAGGGGGGTTGAAATGGAAGCAGAAGGCTTTATAACGATATTAAATATTAATTTCTTATTTTCACGTATTACGCACAAATGAGGTTCAGTCTTGGCTTTCATTAGGATTTGCATCCAGGCGGCTCTGACCTAGTCACGTGAGTGTCTAGGTTATGTGTTACAAGGGGAAGGTCAGAGGCAACTGGCTAACCTCATCTTGGCTGTAACTGCATTGAATCCACTGTTCACACCAGGGGTGCATTTGACCCAGTGAGACAGAATGCCTTGGAAGAAACGCCTAGCAGCCCTCAGCCAAGGATATATTTCCATTTGATGTGTGTGTACGTGTGTGCATGGAGGAAAGCACACCAATAGCAGAGAAAGCACAATCACTGATAATTACAATGATTATTGCAACTTTATGTACAAATCTGCGGTTTCATCTTCTGTTTTTGCCAGATAGGATATGTAAAGTATGGTACAGAGCAATGCAGTGAGTTTTTACCATCTATACCTAGATTTGAGAATATGGAAGTGGGACAGGGGGCAAGAGATTGCGTCTGCTCTGGGGGAAAATTACCAGGGGAGTGGCCAGAGATCCTGTACTGATGCACTGCCTCCTGGCAGAAACCAAACCAAACAATATGAACTGTTACAGCCCTCCTGTTCTGCAAGGCAGATCTGGGGCACAGGGGAATGTGCATGCAAAAACAAAGTACCTGTTGTGAAGACAGTATCCAAGGCAAATTACTAAGTGTTACCCAAACTTAATATTGGATGCCCTTTCGAGGACCCCAATCCTGCACCCAAGGAACTGAACCATCTATGCTCTAGGGTAAATGTATAAGTAGATTGTTTGTTTGTTTTCCTTTTAACCTCTTCCTTCCATCTACTTTGCCTCCTGGTCAATTTCTTCCCATCCCACTCAGGTACGGACTAAACGTTGCTGTCCTAACTTCAGTAGAATTCCCATTGGCTTCAGTTCTTCAGAACTTCCCATTGACTTCTAAGAGAGGAGGGTTCTTTATGAATTCACTCTGTGTATTGAGTTATTAACAATCTGAATCATCCTTACCAAAACAAAAACCCACCATAAAAGCGAAATACTTTCCTTGTGGATGGTAATGTCTGCCAGAAAAGATCATTCTGTTTTAAGGTACAAATAAAGAAAAGGACCACAGAGCACCATCTTGTAATGGTACATGCTGGGGAGGGAGAAGATGCGCCCAATATATCATGTAAATTCAGGATTCAAGGCTGTTGTATTTAAATGTAAGACAAATGGCTGGGTCTGTTGCCAAGAGGGCTATTTTCTGAATGTCGTGCTAGCTTCTTGAGTAAGGGTATAGTGAAGGAATCATGCTTAGTAATAGATCTTCCTACCCTAATCTAATCTGTACATTTCAAATGGCGTGCATCAAGATGATGATGAGCAAGGAACTGGGAGTCAGAATTCTCGGGTTCTGGTCCTGGCTTTCACATTGGGTATGTCATAGAATCTCTCTCTGCCTTGTTTTCTCCTTTAATTCTTGCCTCCCTCCTCTGGAGGCCTGGGAGGCTTAACTCGTTCATGTTTTAAAGTGCTTTGAGCTCCTTGGATGGAAGGTGCTAGAGACTTGCAAAGTATAGTAGCCAAACCTCGCTGTCGTGGGTGTTGCTATGCATTGCTTAATTGATGCTATAGTACTTTTATGGTTTTTAACCAAGTACCTCAAAGCTGATTACAAACACAAGGGCCAAGCCCTCCTTCCTGATCAAATTCTTGTTCCTAACGAACTAGGCTTCTTGACATTCCAGTGAGTGTCCCCAGTTATCCCCATTTTACAGCTGAGGAAACTCTGAGGCCGAGAACCATTCCATGACTTGCAAGTGGTCATGCAGAGTCAGCAGAAGGGCTGGGAATAGTCCTGGGCCCTAGTGCCCTGCTCATGTCTCCAGACCACGCTCCCTGTAATAGACTGTGACAAAAGGAAACAACTGAATGGGCTTGAGTCCTGTACAAAACATATCCATGTCTGTGCAGGCACAGTGTAACTATACACACGCTCTTGTTGCTGAGCTACATGCTGATGACTTTTGATGGCTGCTGTGGGGAAATGCATACAGAATGTCATGAAATGTTGAAACATGATGCACCCACTGTTTGTCTTGAACCAGGGCTGCCCGTCCCCCCTTCTCCGGTTCCACTATTTGCATATGCAAATTTTCCATCACTGACTAGCTTCCATAGACTCCCTTCTTCCTCCTCTTCTGAGCCAAGAATCATGAATAATTAACATTTGCAGCTGGCTTTTGCCTTCATGGCAGACAAGCCATTGGAAACCATGCCAGCAGTGCATTTGTTTCCCTTTTCTGCATTTTCTCACCAAGTCAGTGGTAACGTCCAGTGTTTGATTACAGGCTGCTTCCAAAAGGATTGGCTCCCCAAGGTCCTTGGGATCCAAGCGTTTTAAGTGCTGTAAGGGACTTTATAGCTTGGATTGAAGTGAAATAGTCAGTGGGCCAGATTCTGAGCTGATGCAAGTGGGTGCAGCTGCCTTAGAATTTTTCATGGGAGTTACACCTTACAGCAGGAGTGAATTTGACCCCATAGCTTTATTGAGAGAGAGAGAAGGAGTATTGGGATTTTGAGAGCATTCAAGCTGGGTCCTTATTGCTCTTGGTGTCTTATCGAGGGCCTCTCCAGCAGACTGCGCCTTTGAAATGTTAAGCATCCTCTCCGAAAACACTGGTCCCTAGTTGTTCAGATGTCCCTGAAAGACTCCCGGTAGGAAATCAGGGGAGGGGTGCGAAAGGATTCACCTGAGTTTCTTCTCATCGATTGGGAAAAGGCTTTCGCTTTACTCAGTAAACAGAGCTTTGATGGATTCCCAAGGTCCTTCCAGGAGCTGAGCTGTTAAAATGACATTTTTATTACTGTTCATAAACTCCACGCTCCTGCTGCTGCTGAGAGATTAGATTTAAGCTGTGGGCAAACTTGCTGGTCCAGTGGCTCAACAAGCAAGGGCATGGGAGGTTAGAGTTTAGAGCTTGCTGCTGTCGGGGACTGTGAGAGGGAGCTGTAGGTGCAGGTCTGAGTGGGAGGCATGAATGGGAGATTTAGTGAGCCGAGCAGGGGATTTTGGAAGTTGGGGGTGAACGTCGGTCAAAGAGTGTCCCAGTAGCAGAGAGGAAAGCTGCAGCCTGAAGTGTGGGTGCCGTTAGCATTCTGGGATCCCCTCAGGTGTGGTTCGCAGTGTTGCCATTCATGAGACTTGTCCTTAGAGCAGTAGGATCTGAGGAAGGCATTAGAGGGGTAAAGACTCAAAGGAAATATACATGCTGCTGGGGGTTTTTTTTCCCCCCTTTTAAAAAGTGAGCTCTGTTCTCAGCCTGGTGATGAAATGGAAAATCCATGTGTCTCTCAGGTATTTCTAAGGGACTAGCTGGTGACTGGCGAAGAATTTATTGGCTGCTGGGATTGTGGTACCGGAGGAGTCTGCCCCCCACCCTCCTCACAACCCTTTCTCTGCCTCTCTTCATCCCACTTCCTTCCTGTCTTCTTCCTCCTCTTTCCTCCCCTTTTTCCCCTCTCAAAGTTTCTACTGGACAAGGGCACCAGCTCAGTTCCTGAGCAGGTGGAAGACCACCACCCTGTTGGGCAGGGGGACAGTGTTTAGAAGAGGCAGACCTGTGCAAACCTAGTGTATCTTCATGTCATTTCTTTTCTGCTCCTGACCTCTCTCCTCACAACATTCCTCCTCCTACAGGATTGCACTAGTACTTCACATATTTTTAATATCCCAACCATTCCTAGAGCTGATAACCAGGGTGTCACAAATGGCTAGGCAACGTCCTTTCAGCTGAGACAGGCAGGATGGAATAGGTTTAAAAAAAAAAAATCTCTCTCTGTCCTTCGCAGCACTGCAGTCTTTCCTTCGCTCCTACACCACCTACCCCAAGACCCTGAAGCACATCTTCCACATCAAATCCCTCCACCTGGGCCATGTGGCCAAGAGCTTTGGGCTGAGAGACGCCCCTCAGAACCTCAGCACCTCCATGGCTGCCAGTCCAGGAAAGAAAACCAAACTGAAACCAAAAAGGTAGGAAGGTCCAGCTCTCTGGAGCCAGGGCCACGTCATGCGCATGCAGTTTTTACCCCTGGTTTGAATGTTTTCTACCAACGGGGCTGAGAAATAATGGGAGAAAACTGGGATAAATTGAGGAGCAGAAAGATGGAGATGAGGACACAAAAACCACCTGCCCCTCTGGGTCCACTGTTTCTACTGTCAACACAATATCCCACCATCCAATCAGTCAGGAGCCTCCCCCAGGAGAGAGAAAAGAAAAAGGCCTGATAGTTTCTGTTTGCAGTGGAAAGAGCTACTTCAAGAGGGCTAGCGTTTTTTGTTTGCCCTATTGACTTCTGCTTTAATAACAGCCATCCTCCTCTTTACACGCTGTGCTGGGGTCTGGGGTCATGGAGAGGCCCTGGGGTTCTGAATGACTTGCTACCCAAAAGTCACTCACAAGACCGTGGGATGCAGTGGGTGGCTCTCAGGAAAAGCATTACCTGCTCTGAGAGGAGGGCGGCTCAACTGCTACTGAGTGCCCACATTGAGTAGACGATACACTGTGCTCCTGGCCGTCCTCTGGCCACCTGTGAAGAGGCAGAATTTCTGTGCCAAGCACCTTTCGGGACACATACACACGCCATACAGTGACAGCACTCTCATACACACCTGCCTACGAGACATAACCGTGTCACATCTGCCCGGCGCTGAGCTGCACTGAGGCATGGCTGTGTGGTATGTTTCCCCACGAATCTGCTAATGAGCATGCGGGGGGGAGAGAGGTGCTGTTTCATATGGCCTGTTAGGGTCTCTGGCTCTCTAATCTATTTCTGTGAATGAACACGCTTCCCCCTTTCAGATTGTGTTCCAAAATAAATCCTTGTGCGTTCACTGTGCAAAGCTATTCACTTCTGCTGCATGATCCGAAGGGCATTGGCAAACCTGGAGCTGGTCTATGGATGTGTATCAGTGTAGCCTGGCCCACTGTAATGTCACTGCTGCACATGAGACCTGGACAAGAGAGTGACCTTGAAACCTGATGTGGGAGAGTGGGCATGCCACTGAGGTGAACTGCCTGGGATGTGGGCAGATAAGGGAGAGCAGCGTTTGAGCGAACGAACCTCATAAATACAAGCAATGCTGCTGGCTAATCTAATGATCCTGAACATAGGACGGGGAACCGGGAAATTCTGGCTGTGATACTGGTTTGTTTGATTAGGCAAGTTATGTGATTTCACTGTGCCTCAGTTTTCCGCCATGCTAATTGCAGTGTATACTTAATTAGTTTATTTTCCCAAAGCCTTTATTAGTCCTAAGTGTTATTTTGATATGCTTTATTACTAAACACAGCTAAACTGGGTGTTTGAGTGGGAGCTCAGTCTTAAAAAAAAAAATAATAATCATAATTTTTTTTAATTACCGTGTATTTTGGCTTCCAGTAAATATCACCTTTTCTGAGTTCAGTTTAGAAGCATGAAGATGCTCCTGTGTGGATCAGCAACTCTGCATCCGGTAGCTCTGAGTTTGCTGCAGTTGTTCTATTTCTATCTTCTGGGCACTTATTACCTCTGTGAAAACACCATCTCCAGTAGGCCTTTTAAACAGGAAGGTCATGGTTTGATTGGGAGTTTTTTCTCTCCCCTTTGAAGAATTCATGTGAGGAGGAAATCAACCTGCCAGAAGTGTGTGTGTCAGGGGGCAGAGGGGCAGGCAGGGTGGACGGGATACAAAGGATGCTGTGAACATTCCAGGACACAGTGTAGAACGTGACACATTTCACAGCTTGGAATCTTTCTCTCCCATTGACAGTTATTCCGTCTCCCATCGCTGCCATGCTCTAGCACCTCCTGGAGCGATGGTTCTCAACTTATTTACCATTGTGGGCTCCACCCAATACTACCTGTATGGCCCTGAGGATGTCACATGGGCCGCAGCTCTTTGCTGATTGGGCCGCAAACAGCCTGTGGGCCGCAGGTTGAGAACCATCCTGTCCCACTACACCCTTCTCCCTCCTGGAGGTATGTTCTCTGGGACATGGCCCTTGACACTAAATGTTTGCAAGAGATAATTGTTTTCACTTGAATTGATTCCTGAAGAGTATCCCCAAGTCAGCAGAGTGCTTTGCTTTGCTTTGCATGTTACTTCTTATACAGTGCAAATACTGTGTTCCACAATACACCTTCCCAGGCTGGCCCTCTGGGCATTCAGAAGCTGAGACCATGATTTTCCCACACGCTCAGAAACAATTCTGCTGTAGCCTCTCCCCGACCTAGTTTAATGCAGTCTCTCATGGCTGGTATTCCGCGTTGGATGGGGAAGCACTGGCATCGAAGGCATGGTGAGGAGATGAACGCTTTCACTTTCAATTTTTTAAGTAGCGACTCTCCTGTTCATTAGCAGTGAGGCTGCATTAGCGACCATCGATATCACGGCAGCCTCCTCCTCTCTGGCCTCGGCAAATGCAGTTGCTGCTGCAGAAAGGGTTTTCCTGACTCGCTTTGAGACCGTAGCACCCCCTCTTTGCGCCCTCCGCTGGCTCCCCTTTTTCCACCGCAACAAGCACCAACAACTAGTCTTCACTTTTAAGGCCTTTCACGGCGTATTCTCATCCCATTTATCCTCTCTTCTGTGCTACAGAAATGTAAACTCCCACCTGCGCTCTGCCGGTGATGCCTACACTGATTGCCTATTTGTCAGATTTCCCTACAAGTGGGGTTGGTGCTTTCCCCCATGCACTGTCCCTTACGCATGCAAGGAGCTCACTTCATCTGCAAGGCATTATCCTCCCTGACGTCTCTCCGCAGAACCCACCGAGACCTACAAAACACTTGACGGTGGGTAGGCAGTAGGTGTGCTGCAACCGTGGCTTATCACTCTCATCGCATTGTTACCTTGCGTTCCGTTCCGCCCATCTGTTTGTCAGATCTACCTCTCATCTTAAACCTAGACTGTAAGCTCTTCTGGGCAGGGGCCGTGACCTCCTGAGGTCCCTTCCAACCCTGATATTCTATGATTCTGTGATTCTACATGTTTGCACAGCACCTAGCATTACTGGCTCCTCAGCACTACCGCAGTGTAAGTAACACATCGTCATCGTCAAAGCAGAAGAATGGAATTCAGAACTCCTAGATGTTCTGTTCCCTTATCTGCTACCGTGAGGCCTTGGGCGTGTCACCAAAGCTCACATTTCCAACATTAGGCACATAAACAACAGCTCTGATTGTCCGAGTCACAATACCCAGTGAATTCAGCTCTGAAAATCAGGCCGCTGAAATGGTTTCATACAAATTTGGGTGTCTGATTTTAGGTACCCAGGGCCAGGCACCTAGCTGGTGTCAATAGGCCCAGCATCATTGGAAGCCTTGGGAATTATGCCCATTTACACCATCTGAGAATCTAGCCCCCCAGATTTGAAACTGTTGACCTTAGCTTCTCCGTATCACAGCTGGTCAAATGAGGATGATGCTGGTGAGACGGTTGTGAGGCTTAATTAATGTTTGTAAAGTACTTTATAAATCTGATGGTCGCAAAATGTTACTTGTCACTTGCAACTAACCGTGTTCTTGGGCCAGATCCCTAGATCCCCAGAGGTGCCCTGCATCTGCACTTCTGCAGTTCCTCTTCTTTCGGGATTTGCCTCTTTACCATTACACTAGCAATCCCACCGTTCCGACTACAGGCAGTGCCTCATTGGTGCTCGTGCACCTGCAGGAAATTAAGGAAAATGCTGGTGCAGACAAGGTTTAGTGGTTGAACTACAACCAGGGCTGCAAACGCTCGAAACGTTCAGCGGGTTTGAATCAATCCAAATGATTCACTGTTAATAAATAGACCGATAGTTGTTTGTCAGCAAATCCAGAGTTGCACAGACCTGTTGCGTTACCTCTGGGTTTAGTTGCGGTCTCATCCTGTAACGCAGACTGGGCTGATGAAGTCTCTCCTCGGTTTGCTGGTGAAGGTTGAATTTGTCTGCCAGACTGGGGAAGGATGGAACAGCCACCCCTGCTTTTTAGAGAGCTGGCTGCAATTTGTGTTTGATCAGACCCAGGCAGCTCTGGCTCATCCAGTGCTTTATGCATTCCCACCCCTGCTGTCTGCCGCACACAAAGCCCGTTCTTCCCGAAAAAGTCTGCAAAGGCCTGATCTGTACACAGTTCTTGTACTGGTATATTTATGTTGGTTAGGGGAGTGATTTTTCCCCCAACTGTTTTATGCCTTTAATAGCTTATTCCCCTTCCCTTACAGCATAAGCTGTAAGCTCCTTTACACCAGTACTGCTGCATCCACACTAGGGGATTCGTACCAGTACAGTAAAAGTGGGGCAACTTTTGTGTGTAGACAGGGCCTAATGTGGGCTGTCTTGGTTCTTGTGTGACCAACCTTAGACACGGTGGGCTTGGTTTTCAGCAGCGCTGAGCCCCCATAGCACTCATTAACTTGCAATGTTGTGGGTGCTCGGCACCTCTGAAAATCAGACTGTTGGTGTTCCAGTTGCTCCCACACAAATGAAGGCCTTTCTGCTCGGAAATGAGGCAATACGGGCGCCACGGTCCTGCTCAGTAGCCAGAGCAGAGGACTTGCTCCCAGTAATCGCTTGCCACTAAAATGTAGCTGTGTGTTTAAAAGGAAGAAAGTCTCTTTTCGTTAATAAATGTCTGTTGGACTCTTTCTGTGTAATGGTTGCTGCAAACTCGTATTAGCAACCATTTGCCATGCATTTAAAGTACTACTCCGCATAATGGTTTATAGGCCTGTGACATCTCCAGCTCATGCACAGACCCTGGAAAAGGCAAGGGGGGAGGGGAAAGAGATGCGGGGGGCGGCGGGGCGCGAGAGTTGGAGACAGCATTGTCCTTGCTTTGAGAAGCCACCGGGGATAGGCCCGGGCTCTGCCTCCTGCTTCAGCTGACCCTTGCCAGCAGATGGGCAACAGGACGGGAATGCCCTTGTGAGCCAGGGATTTAACAGGGCTTTATTTAGGGAAGAATAGCCTGCTTAGCCGATAAAGAGCATGTAAGATGGTATGGGGC